AAAGCTCATGGACATGTAAGTCTTTTTAGGCTCTTCTCTTTTATTACTATTTTGGGATATTTTTACTCACTTCAAATGACACAGTCTGTTAAATAAATCCTTGCTTCCGCATCATCTGTGACTTGTTATGGCCTTGAATCTGCCATCTCACAATAGCAGACACTTTCATGCCGGGTTTAAGGGGTTTCCTTCATTGTAGCGGGTGATCACCTTTTACCTCGCTACCCCCCCAAGGCTTCTCCCTTTATCTCGCGTGGCCCTCCAGGCTCTCCGCACCCTGAAGGGTCCCCGATCGTGAAAGAATCAGAGTTGGAGGACGGAGACTGTCCTCTTTCCTCTACAACACTTCAGTGTCGCCACCGGAAGTCCTGAATTCCCCTATTTTCTTACCACCTGTTTGATTAGTGCATTTTGTATGGCACTCGCTATTAAAAGCTTGATTTTGTTTGACAGCAAGGTTGATATTCTTGTCCACACACACACATCTATGTTACATTCACTGATAATCCTATAATTTTTTAATTGCCAGGGATAGGAATATTCTGTATCAATTAACTCACTGTCCCCATTGTTTAGTTTAAATATTTCTCCAGAAAATCTGTGAATTTATTGCCAAGTAACTCAGTCCCTTTCTCTGATGGATGCAAACCATCTCTTTTGTACACTTTTTCATTGGACCAACTGGAGACATCGCGACTAATATAACCAAAGCCTTCCCCTTTACACCATCCTTTAGCCACATATTGAATTCTGCTATATGCTGGCCTTTTCCATTTTGCTCTTTATACACTGGTAAAACCTCTGGAAAAGTATCCTGCTAAGTTCCTGCCCCAAGCTCTGGAAATCATTCTGCACAGAGAGTACATCTTTGGGGGACAAATCATTAGTGCCAAGATGTACAATAGCATCCACATCACAGTCCTTGCTGGCATTCTTGACTATCTTAAAAATATACTTCTTGTCCCTGCTGGCAGTAGCACCAGGAAGTTACCTGATCTCTGTATCCTCTCCTAAATTTACATCTCTTATAATTGAATCACCAACCAGAAGGTGGCTTCTCTTTTTGGATGCCTTACTCTTCTTGCATGCCTGATGTGTAATACCTGATTCACACTTTCTCCTGTCCAAAACAAGTTCTTCATCTCGGACCACGACCTCCTGCTTATTTAAGTTATCATCATCCCAACTACCTTGATGTGTCTCCTTAGTGTCCCTAATAAGGTCAGTTATGCACGGACACAGCAAAAGCTTTGTGTTTATGGTTCACAGCTCTCACCCTACCAGATCCCACGGTTGTCCATACTGCCCTTCTCCTGCAGGATCTTTGTGGTAGAAGGGGCTGATAGTGCGGCAGCTCAGTAGAGCAGAAGGGCTGAACTGGATGCCTAATTTCTGCCTGAAGAGTGCAGATTACAGACCCTAGATAAGTAATCTGTCCTTGTAGATTAGTGATTTTTTTACAGATAGGATAGTATTCAAGTATTCAGAGAGTACTGCAAAAGACTACTGCAAAACAAGTGTTGCACTGAACTAAGCCAGACATTCTGAATTAAAATGAAATCACAATTTCAGATGCACTTGTCCTGAGTCTACTACTGCTGTTTTAGATTTTTAGTCTCCTCTGCACTCCCTCTTAACTCACAGCTTGCAGCTCTTCCCAGCAACCTCTAGGCAGTTCTGATTTAATGGAGAATCAACCAAAGACTCAGCTACCTTTCTCCTCTGCACTCCCTCTTAACTCACAGCTTGCATCACTTCCCAGCAACCTCTAGGCAGTTCTGATGCAATGGAGAACCAACCAGAGACTTAAATTACATTAAATTATAATTTGAAAGAAAGTTTTTGCAAGATGATGTACCGTTAGTATTTAACACCAGACAAGTTATCAAAAATGTATAAAGGTATTTCAAATGAATGTAAAGAAGGGACTCTTTATCATTTATGGTGAAAGTGTGATAAAGCAAGAAAATATTGGAGTAGGATTCAAATGTTAATACATAAAATTCTTAAAGTGAATATAGAAAGAAAACCAGAGACTTTTCTCTTGAGGCTAATGGACAAAGACCTGGAAAAAAATATGGAACTTTGATGTTATGTATGTTGACAGCAGCAAGATTACTCTGTGCTCAGAAATGGAGGACTACATTGATTCCCACAACAGAGGAATGGTTACAAAACTGATGGAGCTAGCAGAGATGGCTAAACTGACTGTACTGATTAAAGAAAAGAATATAAATACTTTTATTGCCACATGGAAACCGCTTCTAGACTTTGTGCTTGAGGTTGGAAAAAATGAAATTTTGATTTTGGGTTTTACCCATTAGATAGACTTGATGTTATCAAAATGGCTAGCTTATATTATTTTGTAAAAGTAAAAAATTGAGGTTTGAAGTTGATACTTTACTTTGCTGCACCAAAGGAAGGTCGGAAGTCAATGCCTTTTTTCCCCTTTTTTCTCTTCCCTACCTCATCACTGAAGATTTTTAAGAAGAGACTAGACAGTCACTTGTCTGAAATGGTATAGGTTCTCCTGCTTCAGCAGGGGCTGGACTAGAAGACCTCCATGGTCCCTTTTAACTCTATTCTATTCATTAAAAAAAGTAAATGGATCCAAAGAAAGGATATACTGGGAATGTTGAATATTCTCAAAATCAGAGAGGAGAAAAGTTTGAAAGATAAAAGACACATTGATGTGGTGGAAGTGAAAATAATTTCAAGGGTAGAAAAGTACAAATACAAACAGTAAATCAATTATAAGCTAGTTTTAACAATTTTACCTTTCATTTTTCTTATCGTACGCCTTTAATTTCTTTAACTTACTATTCCTCATTCTTTTTAAGCAGTCTGCTTAAGAATGCTAAGAAAAGAGTGCTTAAAAAGAAGCATTATGCATTATACCATATTTTCCCGAAAGTAAGCCCTCCCCCAAAAGTAAGCCCCAGCCTGATTTTCAGGGGTGGGCCTAATATAACCCCTCCCCTGAAAGTAAGTCCTACTTAGGGGCCTACACAGATGGCCGGCTGTCAATTCCGTCTGGTTTCTGCTATAGACATGAGGTAAGGGAGGAGCTGCCAGTGCCTCTGCAATGAGGCAAAGCCGGTGGGGGAAGTGGGATCTGACCCATGTTCCCTGCTAACCTATGGTATACCTTACAACCGTCTTTCACACTGCCCAGCTTGTTTTGGCTGGCTGCGGCCATTTGCCACATTGTGGGTTGCACCTGCCAATACCGCTGCCATTAGGCTTGGCGGATCCCCCATCTGACCCGTGTGCCCTGCTAACCAATGGTATACCGGTTCCTTACTGCCACCTGGCTTGTTGTTCTGCAGTCAGTTTCAGCTGGTCACAGCCATTTGCCACATTGCGCATTGCGCCCAATGCCGCTGCCATGAAATGCCGCTGCCATGAAGTGGCAGATCCCCCCATCTGACCCACGCGAGGCCATAGCCAGGCCTCCCATGCCCACGGTAATCCTACCCCCCGCTCCCCCCCAACCCTAACTGGAGATGGAAAGCCCTGAGGAAAAAACCTGGAAAAGGTTGGGTAGGAAAAAAAATGCTTTTTCCCATTTGTTTCCAAAGCAGTTTGGAAACAAATGGGGAAAAAATGTTTTTTCACAAGTTTTCTGGTTTTTTTCCAGGCCCTCCAATCTCCAATTAGGGTTGGCGGGAGTGGGGGGTAGGGTTACTGTTGGAATATTCATGAGCAGGAAGAATCATGTGGTAACTCAGTCAGCCAATGTGAGTAAAGTGCTACTGAGTCTGTGCCCAAAAAAGGTATTGAGTTAGGAGCTGGATTTTTTCTATCTAGTCTCGGGTCTGTCTCTGTATCTCTCTGTAAGAAGTCTTCTTTGTGCTATGTTGCTGTAAAGAAGAATATATGGTATTGTAAATATTTTGATATGAATATAAAGAAGTTGTTTGAATCAGCTAAATGCAGTTAACTGTGAGAGCTTCACAGTTGGTGATTTATTTTCACCAACAGAGAAATTAAAATTCTCTAATAGTTACCATAGGCATGGTAGGCCTGGCTACAGCCTCATTTGGGTCACATGGGGGAGAATCTGCCAAGCCTCCTGGCCGCACCATTGGTGGGCGCAACACAGCTTGGCTGAAATTGGCCACAGAAGAAGTGGGGCAGATTTCTCCCTCACCTGCCCAGTCTCGTTCCCTTTCACTTCTGAGCCAGGCTGGTGGTGCTTTCGGCCACCTGGCACTCTTTGCAGCTCTGCCCACAGAGCTACCAAAGTGGCACATATACGTTGTATAAAAGTACTCAACAATTGGCTAGGATACCATTTTTGGAGAAGAAAGTTAAAGAACTACTGTTTAATCCCATTTATCTCCTGATGTCTTTTAAATATGAATTTACTAAGTTTCATGTTTATAGAACCTAATTTTTATTACAATAGACAAAGATACTGAGAAACGGGAAAGAACTGTAGTAAAATATTAGCAGTGAGAGTAATACACTGGAGAGTTATTGATTCCAATAAAAAATATGATTCCAGATTGATTAATCAACAGATTTTTAATTTTATTTTAAACTGTATAGTTATAATTATTAGAAATATAGCACTAGCTATAGCACTTAGGCTTATATACTGCCCCATAGTGCTTTACAGAACTGTCTGGGCAATTTACAATTTCAGTGTTATTTGCATATTGCCCCCAACAATCTGAGTCCTCATTTTACCAACCTCGGAAAGATGGAAGGCTGAGTCAACCTTATTTTATATGGATAGATCATTTCTGGAGAAAATTCCTAGCCCTGATAGATTGCTTCAATACTTTTTATGGAATATGTTTTGTTCATAAAGGCGGGATACAAATAAATAAAATAATAATATTGATTACATCTCTTGCCTCATCTCTTCCAAATTCTTTGCCATTTGCATTTTATAGCTTATAAATATTTATGTTAGGTTAGTTGAATATATTTTATATTTAATGAAATATCAACATTGCAGCTTTTTCAGTTAAGTAATATATTTTTTCCAGATTACAAATAAAAGCAAGGAGTCTATATGGGAATTCATCAAAAGTTTATTGGATGCCTGGTCAGGATGGGTTGTCATGCTACTTATAGGACTGCTGGCAGGTAACTTCAAACAAATGTTAACTCGTATTTACTTATTAAAAGTTGTGCACTGTAGAAACAGTTGTTTATGCTGGATATAGAAATGTGATATCTTCTATTTCAGCATTTCAGGGCTAAATACTATTTTTGTTAGGGGATAGAAATGCTAAATATATGTGTAGAATATTGACAGTAACAGCACAAAGAAATAATATTTATAATTTGTAATATAGAATAAAAATTGTGATATAAAATAATTTAAAAATTATTTTAGTCCCAAATAGATCTAGTACTAGTAATAATACAACAATTTCCTGGTTAATTGATAATAATTTGCAAAACTTTATGTTTATTTATTAAATTTGTATAGCTGCATCTCATGAGAAATTACTTTAGAAAACATATCTCTTATAAAGATAAGAGATATTGTAATAAGTAAAAAATTAACTAAGTTTAATGATTTTATTGTGGTTTATTATATTCAATGTATGTGTGTGTGTATATGTATGTATGAATGTATGTATATGTATGTATATGTATATACAGTATATGTATATAAATAAATAAATACATACATACATTTGCTCCATCCTTTAAGAGCAGTAGATAACATTCTGAGAAATCATTAGAATTGTGGAACTAAAACACATTCATAATAGTATGATTAATAATGGTAATAACAAAATGATTTTTAATTATTTGTGATTTATTATTAATAAGATATTATTAAATCAAAATAATATGTCTGGACATTAACTGGTGCTTTTTGGCTTATTATGAATAAACAACTAATGTTCTTCTAGTATTTGGCTGAAATATGTAATTGGAGCCATGCATAGTTCATGAAGCAATATGACATTTATTCAGGCAAGCTCTTATAAAGCAGTCACTAAAAATGCTATTTTAGTATTTCTTGCTATGAGATACCACTTGTTGTCACTGTTGTACTATGTTATTTTAAAAAGTGCCAACTATTTGGAATGAAAAGACAAAAATATTACAATTTCAAATAGAAGGCATAAAAAGTATATGTATCTATAATACAATATACACCAATTGTATTAACTAAATATTTAATACATGTTTTTTTAAGCAATGTGGTGTCCAAGTGGAGAAAATGCTCACCTTCTATTTGGAGACGTTCAATCCTAGACAGTGGCAGATGTTTCTCTCCTAGGGCACAAAGAAAAAAATTCTGCTGTGAACTCCACATAGCTTCAGGAAGGGCATCCTTCCTGAAGCTATGTGGCCAGTAAATGCTTGGCTCCATCCAGTCACCCCATCTCTACCTCAGATTAAGGGATTACAGAGTTGTAAAAAGAAAGTTTTTATTTATGGTATTTTTTATTGATTCAGTGTCTGCTTTTAGGTCAATATATTGAAAATAACAGTAATGCACACTGCCTACTTGTTCAACTGGTGGTCTTAACCTACTCTGAAATTTGGTCAATAATCCCAAACCCAAGTTTTGACTTTAACAGTTTCAGCTGCTTATGGAATTATCTAGATAGGAATATATATTCTTGTTTTAAAAACTTATTTAAACTAATAATTGTGTGCATTGTTTAGAAGTTCTTAGAAGTGAGTCAATGAAAACAATTCGTATTTTAAGAGAAACATTACATTGCATAAGAAAGTTTATAGAGGGATGCAAGGAAACAATCTTCATCTTTGACAGGTTTCACTCACTCACTGTTGTAGATGCTAATAGATGTAATAAATGCTCCTGAAAACACCCTATAGCCATGAGATGGACATTTCTCCTAACTTTTATTTTGGTAACTGTGAGGTGACTTAACATTAAGTCACATACGTATCTAACTCATAGTCAAGAGACATTTCTGTAAGAGCACATGCAAAATCATTTCTCATCATCTATCATTTGGGTCCTTCTTTAACATCTATTTCTCTCCCTGTTAGGTACATTGGCTGGAGTTATAGATTTAGCAGTGGACTGGATGACTGATTTGAAAGAAGGAGTCTGTTTAAAAGCCTTTTGGTATAGTCATGAGCAGTGTTGCTGGACATCCAATGAAGCTACTTTTGAAGACAGGGACAAATGTCCTCAGTGGCAAAAGTGGTCTGAACTTTTAGTTAACAAATCTGAGGTATTATTATAGTTTTGCTGCAATTTACACACTAATTGTTTAAGGTTTTAACATGGCACTATCATAAAAAACATGTTACACTAAGCTGAAAAATGCTCTGTGTATAATTATCTAGGCCAGAGGTCCCCAACCTTTTGGGCACCAGGGACCAGTTCTGTGGAGAAAGGTTTTTCCATGGACCGGAAAGTGCATGGTTTTGTGTGCTGCCTGCATCCCATGGATGGGGCTTTGCTTGTTTGTGCGGACTGGTTGCTGGCATGTCGCAGCCCAGTACCAGTCCACAGACCGGGGATTGGGGACCCCTGATCTAGGCTACAGAAAGTTGGACCATTCCTAGATGGTAGGAAAGAAGTACAATAATCCTCTAGTATTGTAATAATCAAAACAATAAGTTTTGCAGCACGTAGCTCTAATATTGCCTCTTACTTAGAAAAAAGAATTATACCATTGATTTTGGTTTGTTTATCTTTCTATCTATCTATCTATCTATCTATCTATCTATCTATCTATCTATCATCTATCTGTCATCTATTTATCATCTGTCTGTCTTTATCTCTGTCTCTATTTAGATCTATCTATCTATTTTATGTCTGTTTTTTAATCTTAAAGTAGTTTGTTTAAAGTAGTTAGTTGCCTCAGTGTTAAATAATGATGGTTTGTAAGGGGACTGCATGCATATTTACATAAATTTAGTTTATCATTATGTCATCACTATCTCAGCATAGCAGTAAATCCAAAATATTGCTTATATACTTTTTTGGATGAAATCTTAATTTATACATGGCAAACTGAGACGAATGTTCATTGGCTGCATCCCCATACTTTATTTACCGAGGAAAGAATATGTGTTGAAACTGTTCTCCAGTCACTCTGTTATGGACTGTAATTTTCAAACAAAATTCATCCTGTGAAGGAATAAAGATTATTGTCATAACTGTTTCTTATTTAAAAAATATGCAAAGACAGTTGTAGCAATAAGAATTACTCAGGGAATTGAAGCATCAAAACAGATGCCATTCATCTATGTCTTAGGCTTGAATAAGCAAAGCCAGATGTCCAAATTAGCAGAAGAATCTCTAGTCATTCATCATTCTGTGCAATAGGTGAGAGTGTAAGTGGGAAAAATACATTTGTTACAATAACAATTTTTTATTATTTGTCCAGACTTTCTGTCTGAAAATTCAAAATTTCTTATGCCCTTGCGAAATGCCATTCTTTTCACTGTCCCCAAAGCATCTTATTAAAGCTTCAAAAAGCATTATATATGTTGAGCAATGGATATATTTATTTAAAATAGTTCACCAGTCTATTCTTTTACAGCCTTAATTTTTTTCATCCCCCTTTTTATAGACTGTAACTTTTGCTAATTTTACTAAGACAGATAGCTTATAGAAGCAAAACTGATTTGAAATGAAAGATCTTTAAAGGGGAATACTGCAGTTTTCAGTCCCAACTCATTTAAAACTGCTTTAATTTGCCCTGCCCTCTTAATTTATGGCTACAGTATCTCTGCAAACTTTAGGCCTCAGTGATCAATATTTTTTGTAATACATTATGTTTCCTTATGTATTTTTGAAATAATATTTCCAGTTCCCATAAATTGCCATATTAAGGTCCCATGTTGGAAGACATGCACCCCCATGTAGGTATTTATTTGGGAGTGAGTCTTTTGACATTAAAAAAGACTTATTTTCAGGTAAATATTACACAACTCCAGACCTGTTGGGTCATCCTTCTTCCACATACAATGTAGGCTGGTGCTGCTTTCCATCCTCTCACAACCCTCCTAGTGAAGCCTCCTCTTCCTCCTCCTCAGCTGACTTTTGGATCTGCCTGCCACTTTACTGTGGAGGGGGAGAGATTAAAGGGAGCTGAAGACCACAAAGAAAACAACATGCCCACTCCCCATTCCAGCATGCCCCAAAGGGCCACTTATCTCCATTGGGCTTACCCAGCCAGCATCACCTAGCTATCATTTTCTTGCCAGTAGGCATCCAAATTGCTTCCTAGTCATTCCCTCACTGCTCATCATTGTTAAGAGATTTCAGTTTTTGGTCTCCATTCCAAAGAAGTCAATTACCACTTAACCATCAGGACTTGCTGTCAGCTGATTTGGTGCAGTGGCCAGAGTAAGGCAGGAAAGAAGGTGGGGATATGTCCCTCCCAGCTTCCTTGCTCATTTATTTCAATTATGTGGGATTTTGGATGCATTATTTAAGTTAGCCCACTTGAAATACCTTGGTTCAAAACTCTGTGATGCTCCTTCTGGCCTAATTGTCAAGACAAGGTTACAAATACACAAAGAGACAAGACAGTTTTGGTAATATATAGATGCATCAGACTGCAGATTTCAAAGATACTGTGGTTGAATAAGCCATATATGAAATCTTGAAACTTAGTTGATGAAGAGATCCTGCTTCATATTGTCCCACTCTCCCATATGACCGGCAGAATTATGCCCTTTTTTGGACTGACTTAATAGTGATCTGTTCCTGTTTCTTTTCCCTTTTTTAGGGTGCCAGTGTTTACATTCTAAATTATTTCCTATACATCTTATGGGCATTGTTATTTGCTTTCCTGGCTGTCTCCCTTGTCAGAGTATTTGCTCCTTATGCCTGTGGATCTGGAATTCCAGAGGTAATGTCTCCTTGCTGGGTTGGTATGACTTTGCCATTGGGAGTGAGAGGAGGAGGGAATAATTTTCTACAATGCAACCTTTCAGGCAAATGCAGTCTGAAGTCCCTGCTAATGGAGATGAAAGTAGGAAAAGGAAAGGAAATTGTTGACTTTAAAACTGGCTGCCTGGTTATGTTTTTCAGTACGGAATATTCACCTATCTTGAAAAAGCAAAAGAATTGCTGATCTGTCTAGACTTTCTAGTGTTTTCACAAAAATCCAATCAGTCAACTTTTGTTTATCTTTCTCTTCCAGATAAAGACCATCTTAAGTGGCTTTATTATTCGAGGTTATCTAGGCAAGTGGACGCTCTTAATCAAAACTGTAACTTTAGTTCTGGTGGTATCCTCAGGACTCAGTCTTGGCAAAGAAGGGCCTCTTGTGCATGTAGCCTGCTGCTGTGGTAACTGCTTTAGCAGCCTCTTCTCCAAGTATAGCAAGAATGAAGGAAAAAGGAGAGAGGTACTGATAGTTTCACCATTTCCTCCATTCACCTCACTTCACTAATATTCTGTGAATATTTTCCGCAGACTACTAACATGTGGATTGATGTTTCCGTGTTAGGTGCTGTCAGCTGCAGCTGCTGCTGGTGTCTCTGTTGCCTTTGGCGCACCCATTGGGGGGGTCCTTTTTAGTTTAGAAGAGGTAAGAAGTATTTTTAACATCATAAACTTCGTATGGCATATTTTATTGGTAGCTGTTCCTGCATTGTTTTGCTTTAGACAATGGGTGGCCGTCTTCACACAAAAATAAATTATAACCCAACCTATCAAAAACTAACTGTAAAAGACAAACTAGGAATAAAAATTAAAATAAGCAAGAAAATAGTTAGAGAACACCTATCTGATCTTGATGAATATAAATCACCGGGACCTGACAGATTACATCCCAAGTTCTGAAGGAGCTGGCAGATGTTATCTCAAAGCCATTGTACCATATCTTTCAAAAATCCTGGAAAAATGGGGAATTACCTGAGGATTGGAAAAGAGCTGATGTGGTTCCCATCTTCAAGAAAAGAAAAAAGCAGACCCAGGAAACTACAGACCAATCAGCCTAACATCAATAACTGAGAAGATACTGGAAAAGATAATCAAAAAATAGAACTGTGAACATCTAGAAACAAATAAAATTATAACTAATAGCTAGCATGGGTTTGTTAAAAACAGAGCATGTGAAACCAATGGGAAAACAGGAAACAGGACAAACCAAAGGTACAAGTACAGATTAGGCAAAACCTGGCTCCAAAACAGTAACTGTGAGAGGGACCTTGGAGACCTAGCAGATGATTACTTAAACATGAGTCAGCAGTGTGCGACAGCAATTAAAGAAGCTAATTCAATCCTTGGTTGTATAAACAGAGGCATAAAATCAAAATCATGTGAAGTATTATACCCCTTTATAAAGCCTTAGTAAGGCCACACCTGGAATACTCATCCAGCTTTGGTAATGTTGAATGAAAAATCTTCATCAGGGTCCAGTCCAAGCTGGACCTGGTTTGTGCTGAGTTTCTAGCTGGTGGGAGGGAGAGGTTTCTGCCTTTTTAAAAAAGATCTTCTCCATTATTCCTTTGGAGAAATATATTCTGCCTTTTTAATATTTCCCAAAATATTTCTTTCTCTGGGGGAGGGCTGACTTCCCACAATCTCCCCTTTGTGCCACAAGAATGTGGGTGACACAATTTTACTGGCACAAGATTAAAAATTGATCTCATCAGGGAGACTTGATGGGTGCTTCCATGGGGGCTCCAGGTTGTGGGGAAACAAGCTCTTAAACTGTTAATGCAGGAAGTAATAATAAAGTAATATAAGTAATAAACTCTTTATTATCAAAGTATAACACGTATACAGTGAAATTGGCTGAGCCTCCCTCTGGGGAAGGCACTAATAGAGGCAGCAGAAAAAGATCCCAGTAACAGCTCCCAAAAGGGGAGCCTTTCAACCATGAATGTCTAAAGCCAGGGCAAAAGTTCTGTCAGGTGGAAAAGAAATTTATAGTGTCCAACATTCTGTGCCAATTCTTTTAGATGTTGGATGTCACTTAGAGCTTCCAGTCAGGTTTGCACATTCCCCCAAAATACTTCACAGCCATGTTTGCCTCAGTACATAACCACTGGCTACACATTTTCAAGGGTTGCTTCCTACCTTAGCTCTTAGTTTAGTGCATCCAGATTTGTGATGTCCAATTGAGGTTAGCCAGTGTGCAAGCCAGGCTACTAAATTGCACATAGTGAGCCCTAGGACTCCCACTATGAGTCCACCAGTGCAACATATTCAGGGCTTGGGTTTGGCGATCTCTTTCCTGCTACCTCCTCAGTGAGGGCATATGAATTGTAAATTACCTGAGGGGTTCCCTCCCCTTTGGAATTTGCAGAAAAGTGTGCATGCAAAGGCCTTAGTGCCACAGAGCAAGAACCAGCCTGGGGAGCATTACATGGAGGTAAGTGAAGGGGATAGACTCAGCATGTTGTAGCTACTTCTATAAGACAGGTAATACAAATATCCTGGACAAATTTTCCTCCCACCAGACAGAAGTCCAAGGTGTTGAATAATTGCTGTGCCAACCATTCTCAAAGGCCATCCCTCCATGAATCCATGTGATTACTTAATTACAATATAAATGAGGCAAGAAAAAAAACTTTACAGATTTCTGCCCTCTGTCCATAGTTTTCCCAGTTGTCTTCTGAGGCTTCACATGAGGGCCAATGGCTTCAGGACTCCTTCCTCTCTCTGCAGCTTTCACAGGCATCTGGGATGTAGGACTTGGGAAGATCTGTTCCATTCTGGTTGCATGGTTACTTTCTAGTGGATCCAAATGGCTGGATCCAAATCCCAATTTCCTGGCTCAAATGGATGGAGGGTTTCCTCTGGAGGCAGTGTCTGGGTCAGTGTGCTCTGCTTCCAAAGGTTGCTGAGTCATCTGTGCAGGGCTGAAAGACATGAGAACAAGGTCCCCGCCCCCTTTTCTGGGTGACTCTCCCAGGAGAGGAAGTACTGATCAAACAAAGGCATGGAGAACAGAGGATAAGAAATGGAGAAGTGGAAAGGGAAGGGGTAGCTTGCAGGCAAGTTTGAAAAGGCATTGATACTGCAGTTGTTAAAGAAACAGATAAACAGACAAAATGGGGACACCACAGATGAGGACAAAAGAGAGGCTGGAACAACAAAAAATGAAAGGTCTCACTTCTGAAACTGAACATTTGCAACATGTTAAAGAGGACTTAAGGACTTGCAGCTTGAAAATGCTGAAAGCTCCAAATAATTTTATAAGCCTAGTAATTTTTGTGTACAATTTGTGAGGGCATGGAGAATCTACCTTTAACATTTATTTTAAAATAGACCACATTATTTTAAAGATTGAAAAATGCTTATATGTTCCAGGATTAGTTCCATAGTAGTTTCACTGATTAGTGATAGGATAAGAAAAGTAACATAAAAAGAAAATTATTTCCCTACACAAGCAAACTTGAGCTCATGAGGCGCCTGTGGGTAAAGACATCTCATGTTTCAGAAGAAGGTTAGACAGAGAAAGCCCATCTACCACACGTACAGAAAATGCACAAATAAAACAAGCAAATGAACAAAATTTTCTTTCTAAATGAGTTTAAAATATTCCCCCCTAACAAGATAAGACAAAAGTGAATGCAGTTCTCTTCACTCCATTTTGTTGGCCAGACAACCTAGAGCCATGGTGGCAAACCTATGGCACGTGCGCCATCGCCCCAGAGGGATGCGGGGCTGGGCTGCTTCCCTCCGCCTCTCCACGTGTGCCAGCGCTCTCATTCTCTTTCTCTCTGCACTGGGAGTCAGGGAGCAGCTGCAAGAGCTGGGTGGATCCAGGCTGGATGGTGGAGGCAGGGCTTTTTTTGTCTACAACGCCTGGAACAGCGGTCAGGCACCTTTTTTTGAATGGAAGCTACCAGCATGAGTCCAGGTATGCTTACAGAACGATTTTGCAGACCGCCAGCAGCCTGATCCAGGCTCCGGAGGCCTGGAAAAGGCCTCTGCCACCAGGATCTATGGCTGCAGAGTGATTTTGCTTCCCCCCCCGGCAGATCTGGGCTCCAGAAGCCTTTTCCAAGCCTCCAGAGCCTGGATTGGGCTGCTGGGGCATCACAAAATCACTCTGCGACCATAGATCTGGGCTCCAGAGGCCTTTTCCAAGCCTCTGGAACTTGTATCCATGGCCACGGAGCGATTTTGCAGCCCCCCCAGCAGCCTGATCCAGGCTCCAGAGGCCTTTGCCAAGCCTCTGGAGTTTGGATCCATGGTCGCGGAGTGATTTTGCCGTTCCCCAGTGGCCTTTTCCAAGCCTCCAGAGTCTGGATCCATGGCCCAGATCCATGGCTGTGGAGGCCTGTTCGACCTTTTTTTTTGCCTATTGGTGTGGAAAGCGCTCGTCTGGTTGTGCTGGGCTTCCAAAGAAGTGGCCGTACCATTTGCTGATAAAGGGGTGGGTGGGTCATGCGAATCTGAAATACTTCATTTTAAGCTGTGCTACTGGAAGCCTTACATGTTGCGGTTCTAAAGCGGAGGCCCTAGTAAGCTTTCTCTCTGTTCCATCAGTCTGGTTTACTCAACTAAGTATGTACCGTAAATGCTGGCGTACAAGGCGACCCGGCGTATAAGACGATCCCCGTCTTTATAGCCGGGCCGCATTCCTAGAACGTCGTCTTATACGCTGGAAACTACCAGTATTTCTGGCGTATAAGACGACTCGGCGTATAAGACGATCCCTGTCTTTGGCACTGATTTCAGCGCTCGCGGAAGTCGCCTTATACGCCGGCATTTACGGTATATCCTTTTTTTTTTACTCTTTCTATCCAACATAGCTTTTTCCCATTCTTGTAACATGCTGTATCTCCATAGCATTCGCAAAATTATCTCCATAACATTCCCTCTTTTGTGAATGCCCCATTATCTTAAATGTATCCCTCTTTCCGCAACTCTCCTCCCTCCCTTCTTTTCATCTGTCACCAAATTTCCTTTCTGCATCTCTGTTCTTTTCATCCTATTTCATTCCTCATCAGTTCCCTTTTCATACCTGTATTTGTACACAAATAGCAACAGGTTGATTTATGCAGGCTCAGACCTTTTTTTTTTATTGAAAGTTTTTTAAATTTTACAAAACAAATCCCCTCCCCAAACCCCCCCACCCTTCCATACCCTCCCCCACCTCCCCAAACCTCCCAAACCCTCCCCCAACCTTCCCAGAGCTGAGTACAGGCTTAATTAAAATTTTTCAGAAAAAGAAAAGAAAAACTTAAAACACATATAAATCCTAAACAAATCTAAATACATTAAATTAAATAGGTTATCTTCTCTAAAAAATAATAATTGCAATCATTAAACACATTATAATATACTCTAAACATTTTCTAGTATCATACTTATATTATTATCCATCATTCTGTATAAACTCCCTCCAAAACACAAATTTAAACATTACTTTCTTTGAATATCTATACCTACAATATAAAATCTAATCTCTCCCTCTTTCTTTATCCTAGAACACAAAAATAAACATATAAACCTTCATTATACCATTAAAACTAAATACTCTTTGAATACTTAAACTAAATACTTAAACTTAAACTTCTTATCTAAGATTTTCATTCAATCTCCATAATCTTCTCTCCTATCAAAAAAAAAACTTAAAAGACATATAAATCCTAAACAAATCTAGGTACATTTAATTAAACAAGTTATCTTCTCTTAAAAAAATAATAAATAATAATAATAATAATAATAAAACCAATCATTAAACACATTATAATATACTCTGAACCTTTTCATATCATACTTATGTTATTATCCATCATTCTTTATAAACTCCCTCCAAAACACAAATTTAAACATTACTTAAAACATTAAAATTCCCTTATACACATTTAAATCTTTACCAATAACAAATTCCATCCACAATTCTAAAATTTTCATTCAGTCTCCATAATCTTCTGTCCAATAGCCAGTTGCATCCACTATAAACACAATCCTTATCAGTCTCTCTTGTCCATAAACATCGAATCTAAATATATTAAATTAAATAGGTTATCTTCTCTAATAAATAATAATTGCAATCATTAAACACATTATAATATACTCTGAACCTTTTCATATCATACTTATGTTATTATCCATCATTCTTTATAAACTCCCTCCAAAACTCAAATTTAAACATTACTTAAAACATTAAAATTCCCTTATACACATTTAAATCTTTACCAATAACAAATTCCATCCACAATAAACACATTCCTTATCAGTCTCTCTTGTCCATAAACCATTAAAATTCCCTTATACACATTTAAATCTTTACCAATAACAAATTCCATCCACAATAAACACATTCCTTATCAGTCTCTCTTGTCCATAAACCTCAAAAGAAGTGCTTTGAAAACTGCCCTTAAAGCTAACTCCAAAAAGTTTGTAAATCTTGCTTCTCCCACAGACTCAGTACTCTTTTGAATACTTAAACTAAGTACTTAAACTTAAACTTCTTATCTAGAATTTTCATTCGATCTCCATCCTTGTCAGTCTCTCTTATCCATAAATCTCGAAAGAAGTGCTTTGAAATCTGCCCTTAAAGGTAGCTCCAAAAAGTTTATAAATCCTGCTTCTCCCACAGACTCAGGAGCCAATACTTGTGAGGCTTCCTTAAACTCCTTCTTCTGTTGCTCTTTTTCTTTACGATTATATGTTGCACGAGTTGTCCTCTGCTCCTTCATCTCGACTTGTTGAGGCCCCTCAAACTGAGATTTCCCATTTTTCATTAATATAGGCTCTTCAGACTGCAATTCTACCCTTAAAGGTTGCTCCAAAAAATTTATAAATCCTACTTCTCCCGCAGATTCAGAAACCAATAGTTGTGAGGCTTCCTTAACCTTCTTCTGTTGCTCCTTTTCTTTACAGTTATATGTTGCACAGGTTATCCTCTGCTCCTCCATCTCAACTTGTTGAGGCCCCTCAAACTGAGGTTTCCCAATTTTCATAAGTATAGGCTCTTCAGACTGCAATTCTACCTTCTTTTCTTCCAAAGCTTTAAACTTAATAGATGGCGATGAACATACCCCCAGGACCGAAGTATAAAAGTCTTTTGCTTGAGAAACAGTATTAAGTCTATAACATATCCCCAGGTAATTCACCACCATTCCAATCGGAACATCCCATCTGAACAAGATTCGTCTCTTTTTAAGTTCATCTGCTAAAAAAGCAAACTCCTTTCTTCTTCTTAAAATTTTAGATGGGATCTCCTTTAGAATTGTAACATCTTGTGAAGCAATTTGAAATCTCTTCTTATAAAAAGCTTGTATAATTTTGTTGCACAGGGATCTTTTCCCAAAGTAAATTACCACATCTCTTGGCAAATTCTTTTGCACTGCCACCACAGAGTTAACTCTGAATAATTTTTCAATTTCACTAAGTATTTCCTCTTTTTCTTTATTCAAAATCACAGCAAAGTCTTTTGCAACCATCTCTCTCAGATCTCCTTGCACAGACTCTCCCAAACCTCAGATTCTTAAGGCATATTCCATTTGTCTATATTGAAGCATAAGAATCTCATTTTCCATTTCTTTTTCCATGCTTTCAAATTTTCCCTCCATCAATTCCACTTTTTCTTCTACCTCTTCTACACGAGAGTTCAGCTTTTCAAGAACAGAGGCAACTCCTTTTAGAGCCAAAACTATCTCTTGCCTCAAAATCTTATTATTTTCCTCTAAAATCTCTTTCATTTCTGCCCTAATTTGAGATATAACATTTCCCATCATATCTTGCAAATCCTTCACAATTATTGGCTGTACCAAGGAAGAGGGTGAAGCTATTGATTTAGGTTGTTGCACTGATGATAACACCGAAGAAGAAACCACCTTAGGAGCTGTAGGAATTACTGGACGCTTTGGAGCCATCTTAAAAAAAATCTTTACTCCTTCTTAAAAATTACAAAAATTAAACAAAAGAAAAAGAGAGATTAACTCCAAAAAATCAAAAAATCCTTCAAAAGGAGATCATTATAATAAAAAGAAAGGAGTTAAAAAAAGAAAAGGGAAGAAGAAAAAAATAATTAAATAGAAAAAATCCATTCCATTTTTTTAAAAGTACAAAAAGCAAAACAAAGAAGTTAAACAAAAATAATAATGCTTCTAAAATCCAAACCCAACATCAAAATCAAATCCACATTCCGTTCCAATCATTAAAAAAAAAGGAAAAGGATAAAAAAAACACCAAAAAGCCTGCCGATCACCATTCTACCTTCCCAAAGGGGAAAAAAAAAAAAACGAAAGGCTTGCCGATCGCCATTTTACTTTCCCTTTCAACAAAAGGAAAAAAAATAAAAAGAGGGAATATAAAAGTAAAAGTAAATCTTTAAACTTAAAATCCAAATAAAATCAAAGAAAGCAAAAGCTAAATCCTCTACTCAGCTCTGTCCGCCTCTAAAAAAAACTCACCAGATCACTTTAATCACAGAGGTGGTTGCAGCGGCTTGTTTTGTCCCTAGGGACAAAAGCAGCTGGGAAGCGGAGACAGTCTAACCTCCGTGGGAGCACTCCTCTCACCCCCCCAAAAAAGCCTTGGGGGTGCATGAGAGTGGCTCTACCACTATTCAGACAACCCTCTTCCCTCCCCCTTTGCCCGGGAGGGGGATTTTGAACCGCTGAACAGCTGATGGCCGCTGTTCATAGTGATTCAAACACTTACCCAGGAGGACGGCTACAAAGTAGCCGCCATCGTGCGCGCAGATCCACCGGAAGTGAGGCAATTGTCTTTTGTAATCCATGAACCATATAGTAAGATTGAAAGTGCATGTCAATTTCAAGTTGTATCAAACCGATTTTTAAGGAGGTACTAGCAAAAACTGGGAGACACAAACAATTATATAAAATTGTATGATGAAATATAAGTATAGGGTGAAGCTTTTACCCTATATTCTCTTATTCACAAAATGGATATGCTGTACCTGTAGAATTCTTTGGTACCGTATATTCCGGCGTATAAGGCGACTGGGCGTATAAGACGACCCCCAACTTTTGAGAAGATTTTCAGGCTTTAGAAAGTCATCTTATACGCCAGAAAATACAGTACAATATTGAATTTCTGTTTATAGATGAGCACAATAGGAGCTCCTTTGCTGCTAGAAAGCTTTGTCCTGTCAGTGCTTATTTCTGTAAAAAAAATAGGGCTGGCCACTAGGGGGCAGATTGGTTTTAAATTCAGAGAACAGCTACCCGTATATTCCTGTGTATAAGACGACCCCTGACTTTTGAGAAGATTTTCAGGCTCTAGAAAGTCGTCTTATACACCGGAAAATACGGTACTTTAATAGCAATAGTTATGAGCAGTGGTGGGGTTCAAATACCTGAACAACCAGTTCTATTATGTGATGCAGGCCTGGGCCTCCAATGCCTAGAATGGACTTATGGAAGTGGTATCCATGCACTTCTCGTGGCCCATTCTAGGCCTGGGAGGCCTCCGAGGCCTAGACTGGACTTCCAGAAGCCAGAAGGTTCTCCAAATTCAGGTAAATTTAGCTACCAGTTCTCCCAAACCAGTGCGAACCAGCTAAATCCCACCACTGGTTATGGGATCCTAGTATCATCTGAAAATGTGAAAGTAGCTTGTTTGTTTGTTTAAATTATCTCTGCAATGTGCTTGTGTAATTCTAATAATATTTGCAAAGATAGTGTAATCTTTAATCGCTTTTAACCTTCTACAATCCTATCCATGGACTGCATCTTTATCAATGCACAATAATACATCACTTTCACAAATATCTGCAAAGGAAAACCTTTGAAAGAATTGGAGATAATTACTAATGGCTTCTATTTTATCTTAGGTGAGTTATTATTTTCCCTTGAAGACTCTCTGGAGATCTTTCTTTGCTGCACTTGTTGCAGCCTTTACCCTGAGATCCATCAATCCATTTGGAAACAGCCGCCTGGTCCTTTTTTATGTGGAATATCACACCCCTTGGTACATGGCTGAACTTTTCCCCTTTATCTTGCTTGGAGTTTTTGGAGGATTGTGGGGGACGCTTTTTATTCGATGCAACATTGCATGGTGCAGGAGGCGTAAAACTACTAGACTTGGAAAGTATCCAGTCATAGAGGTCATTGCAGTCACTGCCATAACTGCTATTATTGCCTATCCCAATCCTTACACACGAAAGAGCACCAGTGAGCTTATCTCTGAACTCTTCAATGACTGTGGAGCCTTGGAGTCATCGCAGCTCTGTGACTACATAAATGATCCCAATATGACTAGACCTGTGGATGATATTCCCGACAGACCAGCTGGTGCAGGAGTATACATGGCTATGTGGCAGCTAGCTCTGGCTCTGGTTTTTAAAATCATCATTACCATATTCACTTTTGGCATGAAGGTAAGTTGGAAAATCAAGCATAGTTTAAGAAATGTGATCACCGAAGATCTGATACACTGGAATAAATATACAGCAATAGCACTTACTCATATACTGCTCCATAGTGCTTTACAACACTCTCTGGGCAGTTTACAATATCAACATATTGTCCCAACAATCTGGGTCCTCATTTTACTGACCTCGGAAGGATGGAAGGCTCAGTCAACCTCTGATTGTGGACAGAGTTAGCCTGCAATACTGCATTTTAACCACTGTGCATCAGAGCTCATTCTTTTACTTATCCAAGTAAAACTAAGGGGAAGATTGCACTAAAAAGTATATCTATTTATACCATGTAAAATAGAGACCTAAATTGTTTACATTAAATCAGAATAGAGCTGGAAGGAACCTTCAAGGACCCTTAATGTCCAAGTGAACAGTTGGTTCTTCCATAGTGAACTTGCATGGTTGCCCCGCCCCAGCCAGGACTCACCCGGTTACTACTTCTTCATCAAGAAGCAGTCTAAGAGGATCTGGCTATTCAGGGGAGCAAAAGGGTTGATTTCCAGAGCTTCCCCTTTCCCTGGGAAGTTTCTTCTGGCTTAGAAACCATTCTAAGCCTAAAATTGTGGAGAATCTGCAGGGACCCTTCTTTCGGTGGAAGTCACAGTTACTGTTTTTGAGCCAGATTTTGCCTAATCTGTACTATACCTTTGGTTTTTCTTGCCTACATTAAAACCTTGCTTTTCTCCACATTAAATTTCATCTTGTTGGATAGGGTCCATTGTTCAAGTCTGTCAAGATTTTTTTTTGGATCCTGAGGTTGTCTTCTGGGGTGTTGCCTATTTCTGCCAACTTAGTGTCATTTGCAAATTTGATGAGTTCCTCTTCTATTCCCTCATCTAAGTCATTTATAAAGATATTGAAGAGTACTGGGCCTAAGATGGAACCTTGTTTTACCCCACTGCTTACTTCCCTCCATATAGATTTAGTACCATTAAGGACATCTCGTTGAGTACGGTTTGTCAGTCAGTACAAATCCATCTGGTGGTGACGTTGTCTATCCCACATTTTTCTAGCTTACCAAGAAGTAGGTTGTGGTCTACTTTGTCAAATGCTTTGCTGAAGTATACTATGTCCACAGCATTTCGCTGATCTACTAATTTAGTCACTTTGTCAAATAATGAAATAAGATTAGTTTCACACGATCTGTTTTTAACAAATCCATGCTGGCTATTAGTTATAATTTTATTTGTTTCTAGATGTTCACAGATCTGTTTTTTGATTATCTTTTCCAGTATCTTCCCAGGTTAAGGTTAGGGTTAGGGTTATTGGTCTGTAGTTTCCAAGGTCTGTTTTCCCCCCTTTATTGAAGATGGGAACCACATCAGCTATAATAAATGCTTTTTCATATGATTTATTACTACTTATTTTTAGGGCTTTTTATTTTTGCCCTTATTTTCCTTTCAACAAATTTGTCACCCACAACTTCCATAAATTTGTAGGGCAAGTATTACAAATGTTTGAAGAACAGTGTAGATATTATCAGATTATTTGAAATGCTGGACCACTTGCTAGTTCTAAATGGTTTAAATAGGTTGTTACTGAGACTGAGTGTTTGATGATAAATTCATCTGCAGATCACACTGGCTTCCACAATCATCCAATGTTCATCAAAATGACAAAACATGCCTTGTGATATAATGAAGAAGCACTACCTTGATAATGTCAAGTACAAGATTGATAATATGAATTATAGAATGTAGTTAAGATAATAAATCAGAGAATTATTGGAGATTTCAAACAATTTTGGACTAATGGCTTCCCACATCTACAGCAAAATGATAGTTGTCCCTGCTTGCTGTAGTGACTGACTTTTAATAGCAAGTGAGAAAGAAAAATAATGTCTGTAAGGCCATTAGAACTTGCTTGACATTAATTTTAAGAAAATATGGTGCAAAAACAATTTGGTATTTATTTCTTTAGCAATACCACTGATGGGAGAATCATAGCAGTAATTAAAATTGTTTATTTTTTCATGCTATGATTCCTTCATATGTTGTCTTTTCTGCTTTTGCTTGATTAATTATTGTGAATGGCAGAATTGATACCTATTGTAAGGACCCACTTCAATCCCATATCTTAAGAAAGCAGAACTCTTGGAGACGGTTTCCTCCAATAGGAACTTTTATTAAAAATAGTTGATAGCAGGCATAATAGACAGGATCTGAGGGATTCCTTTACAGATCAATACTTTAAATGTCCCCAAGCAAACCCCACCCCACAGTTCATTAGGACAGTTCAAACCACCCATCCTCAGATATAAAGTCCATCGAGGGAAAGGGGAGATAACATCGGTCCGGCTCCAGTCGTAGCACGATGTTCAAGCAGCTCTTCGCACCTCCTTTTGAGACTGGAGAAATAAGCCAGGCTCTGGAGGTTGTATTTCTTTCCCTCCCCCGTTTCCTAGCTGACAGGTTAGGGAGAAGAAAGTTCAGAGAGAGATACAGTGTAGGAAGCAAATTGTTACATTGTAGTGGGCAGCGGACACAGAGGCGGACAGCGGACACAGAGGCAATAAAGAAAGCAAAAGGTTACATTGTAGCGAATAGAGGAAGCGAAAGCTATAACCCCGCAGGCATATCCCCCTCCCCCTTGGGAGTATGGCAGAACCCAGGGAAAAGTGAGATTTGTTTTTAGATCAGAGGAGATAGATAGAAATGAAATAGAAATGGGTTCTGACATCCTGCCCCCCTTAAAAATAGGAGAGATTCACCTGTAGAGAAAACAAAACATGTATAGAGGTTAGTCTAGTTTGTTGGGATATTCTGTATGAAACTTGTTTAGCAGTTCAGGTGCTCTGACATGCCGTTTATGGACCCACTCATTTTGTGAGGGAAGGTGTTTCCATGCTATTGAGTTGCCTCGTGATACTTCCTAGAATCTAAGATTTCTTTTATCTCAAAGTGTTGTTCTCCTTCAACCATGATTGGAGGTGGTGGTGGTGATTTTTGGCCGTAAAGGTGACTGTTGTTCTCGTTTCAGCAAGCTGCAGTGAAAAATTGGATGTATTTGCCTGAGTTTTGGGGTAGTTCTAATTCTACTGTTACTGGGTTTATGATTCTTTTAATTGGAAAAGGTCCTATATATTTTGGGCCACGTTTTTTACAGTGCTGTAGGGATTTTAGGTATTTTGTAGACAAATATACCATTTCTCCTACAGTGAATGGTATGGGTTTGACTCTTTTTTTATCCATTTGTGCTTTGTATGCTTGCCTAGCTTCATCTAAGGCTTTCCTAACTACTGTCCAGGTATTTTGTAATTGTGCTATCTATTCTTTCAGTGATGGGATTGCCGGTTCATTTGGGATTAGTTCTGGCATAGGGTTGAAACTTTGACAGGTAGCTACTTGAAAGGGAGTGTAGCCTGTGCTGGAGTGGACTGCGTTATTGTAAGCAACTTCTGCAAAAGGGAGTAGGTCCGTCCAATCTGTTTGCTAGAAATTAATAAAGCATCTTAAGTATTGCTCAAATACTGAGTTAGAACATTCTGTCTGTCCATTGCATTGAGGATGATGATTAGATGACAGTCCCTGAGTGATTCCTAAGAGGGATAAAAATTCCTTCCAAAATTCTGATGTAAATTGCACTCCTCTATCAGATATGATGCTTTGGGATGCCCCGTACAGTCCTTAGATGTGCTGCACGAATAGTTTCGCTAAGGTTTTTGCGGTGGGAATCTTTTGGCAAGGATAAAGTGTACTTGTTTGGAAAACAGGTCCATAACCACCCAGATGACAGCGTTTCCATTGCTTTCTGGTAATTCCACTATAAAATCCATGGATGTTTCTTTCCAGGGGGCTGAGGGATTTGCCACTGGTTGTAACAGTCCGGGCAATTTCCCTTGCAATCTCTTAGCAGCTGGCCATGTAACTTTCTATGTCCTTTTTCATGGACGGCCACCAAAATTGCCTTTTAATTAAATGTAATGTTTTTACAAATCCAAAATGCTGATGGCATAGCTGCATGAAAGTGACCCTCTGGGTGGTTGGTATATATAACTTCTCCCCTACCCATGGCAGTCCATTCTTGATTGTGCACACGTATCTATTTTTCTGGAACCATTCATCTGTTTCCAAAGTTTTCCGGAATTTGATTCCAGTTTGGCTACCCAGCTGCAGCTTTATTTTAACTTGAGCTCTGGTGGTTACTGGTGCTGCCAGTTGTGGTTCAGGCATGAGGAGTTTAGAACCGGTGGCTTGCGTGCTGTTATATTGGGGCATGCGAGACAGTACATCTGCCAGGAAGTTCTCCCCCACCCCGGCAAGTGTTTGAGCGTAAAGTGGAATTGGTGAAAATGCTGGGACCAGCGGGCTTACTTGGGAATGAGCTTCCTGGGTGTTTTTACGGCTTCCAAGTTTTTGTGGTCCATCCAGACCTGAAAAGGGATTTTATTCCCTTCAAGGAAATGGCACCACTTCAGTAACGACCATCTGACAGTGTATGCCTCTTTTTCCCACACGGCCCAGTGCTGTTCTGTTTTGGTGAGTTTCCTGGATGTGAATGCGCATGGTTGCAATACCCTTTTGTCGTTTTCTTGTAACAGTACAGCCCCCACTGCCACATCACTTGTATTACGAAAGGTTTATCCGTGTCTGGGTGCCTCAATATGGGTTCAGCGGAAAAAAGTCTCTTTAACCCCTCGAATGCCGCTTGGCATTCCATTGTCCATTTTAGTGGCTGGCTGGGTTTCACTGAGGATTCTTCCTTCATTTTTAGTAAGTTCGTGAGGGGCAGGGCTATTTGGGTGAACAAAGGGATGAACTGGCGGTAAAAGTTTGTGAAACCCAGGAAACTTTGCAATTGCTTCCTTGTGCAAGGTGGTGCCCATTCTAGTACTGCCCTGACCTTCTCAGGGTCCATTTCAGTGCCCTGTGGGGATATGCAATAACCCAGGTAATCTATTCTTTCCTGGTGGAATTCACATTTCGATAATTTGGCATGTAGGTGGGCAGCTTGCAGTTTCTTTAAAACCATTCTGACTAGGTTGACATGCTCCTCTTTGGATTTGGTGAAGATAAGGACGTTGTCTAGATAAACCAGGACCCCTTTAAATAGGTGCTCCCTTAGTACCTCATTGATTAATTGCATAAATATTGCAGGGTCCCCTTGTAGTCCAAACGCAAAACTTTGAATTGGTAGCATCCCATTGGGCAATTAAATGCGGTTTTCCATTCATCCCCTTCCTTAATCCTAAAGCGGTAATATGCTTCCCTTAGGTCTAATTTAGTGAAAATTCTTCCTTTCGATAGGTGTGATAACATGTCCTTCATCAAGGGTAGGGGGTATAAGTTATTTTCACTGATTGCATTCAGGGCACGGTAATCCATGCACAAGCACAAAGTGCTGTCCTTCTTCTCTTTAAAGAGGACTGGGGCAGCTACCTTAGGCTTGGCAGTTTTAATAAATCCCCTTTCATTTTATTTATGAATCTTTCCATTTCCTCCTTCTCTTTAGGGCTCATAGAGTATAGTCTGGGTTTCGGGAGTTTTGCCCCAGGCTTGAATTCTGTGGCACAATCTGTGGTTTGGTGAGGGGGAAGTTCATCCACCCACTCCTCACTGAAAATTTCAGCAAGGTCTTGGTTATTCCTCCGGTATTTCAGGTTGCCCTTTTTCCTCTCCCACCGATGCTTTCTCCGCTCCTGGATTTGGTAGGGCTCCTTGGGGGTTTAAATTTGCACGATCCCCCTTTGGGAAATTGAGTTCTGCTGTCCTCCAATTTACCCACGGATTCCATTTCTTTAGCCACTCTGGCCCCAGGATCACTGGGCATTCCATGCCTGGGGTCAGTACAAATGTTATGTCTTCCTCATGGTTCCCCAAGGATAGGTGGACTGGTAAAATGGCTAGGGTAACTGGCACCCCCCCTGCTATGGACCGATCTAAATGGCCAAATGAGATTGGTTGTTTCAGCCTCCTCACCGGGATGCCCAAGTTCCCCACTAACGTCGAGCTAATGAGGCAACGGGTGCTGCCAGAGTCTATTAAGGCTTTCACTTTGACAGCTTCGGGCATGGAGGGGGGCTAATATAGTCACTGTCTTGAGGATGGGTGCAATGCATCCACTTATCAGGGGTTCGCCCTCTGAGCTGCCATCTGAGGTGTTCACCGCCCCTGTGATGTAGGCCAGAGTTCCCTCCCCATGATTGGCAGGGGGTGGGGACTCCACAGCCTCTGTTGCCCTCATGGCGGGTTCTCTTGGCTTGGCTGGGGACTTCACTAATTTCCTGACCCGTGATCGGTCTGGGTTGCGCTGAGGGGCTTTCAAGCAGCATTCTATGGCACGATGCCCCTCTCTCCCGCACTTGAAAAAGCCTGTTGACTTCTTGGCCATAGCCAGTGGTTTCGTTGGCTCGTGTGTCAGCTCAGGAGACGAGTGGCCCCATGGTTTTCCTCGGCGGTGCCTCTTCAGTAGGTTGATCTCTGCTTCCTCCGCTAGGACATACCATTCATCGAGTTGGCATGGGTCCCCTCGAGGTAGGCAAGCATCATACAGGTCGGATACGGATTTTGTTGCTAGGGATGTTCCGTCCGTATTCTTCCATGTAGCTGAGGACTTGGGTTAGGAAGAATCCCAAGCTTGGTGGCTCCCCCCTGAATTTCGTGTCCAGCGGTGGGAATCTTTGGATGAATTGGTGCCTTCGCTGCCGATGGTATTGACTCCCATCCTGATTGCCATCTGTGGGTCAGCGGGGAGTGGGTGCTGCTGAAACAGTAGCTGCTGTTCCACGGAGATCCCTGGGGCTACAGTTTCCAATTTCCCCTCAGTGTCTCTTCGGCTGTAGTCCAAGGTGTTGGTGTGACCCCGGGATTCAGGGTGCTCCTCCACGAGAGAGCTGAGGGTTCTCTTCATCAGGTTAATAGCTTTCTCTAGGATCCAGTTCGAGTGCTGCACACGACCTTCTTCCTCTTCACTAAGGTGAAGGGATTTCTCCATCTCTTGCTTCCATCCGGGTTGGTGGCTGCCCCACCTCAGGGTCACTTTCCCCAATACTTTTTCCCACTCACCTTTCTTGCCAACGCCCATTGACCACCAAGGTTTGTGGTTGCGCGTGTCCACCACTTCTTCTTCTGAGGAGTATGACGTCTCGGATCCCAACAACTGGCAGGGTCCCTGCCAGAGGGAGCGCTCTCCTTTCATGGTGGGTTCTTCATTTCCTGCCCCGACATCCGACATTGTAGTTTTTGCAAAGTCCCCCGGTAAGGGTCTTCCTTCCAGGTTGACTATTACTGCAGATCCTGTCTAATTGAAGGACCCACTTCAATCCACATCTTAAGAAAGCAGAACTCTTGGAGACAGTTTCCTCCAACAGGAACTTTTATTAAAAGTAGTTGATAGCAGGCATAATAGACAAGATCTGAGGGATTCCTTTACAGATCGATACTTTAATGTGTCCCCAAGCAAACCCCACCCCACAGTTCATCCGGACAGTTCAGACCGCCCAATCCCCAGGTGTTAAGTCCATTGTGGGAAAAGGGAGATAACACCGGTCCGGCTCTGGTCGTAGCACAATGTTCAAGCAGCTCTTCACATCTCCTTTTGAGACCGGAGAAATAAGCCAGGCTCCAGAGGTTGTATTTCTCCCCCCCCCCTTTTCCTAGCTGATAGGTTAGTGAGAAGAAAGTTCAGAGAGAGATACAGTGTAGGAAGCAAATTGTTACATTGTAGCAGGCAGTGGACACAGGCAATAAACAAAGCAAAAGCTTACATTGTAGCGAATAGAGGAAGCAAAAACAATACCTCCGCAGGCATATCCCCCCCCCTTGGGAGTATGGCAGAACCCAGGGAAAAGTGAGATTTGTTTTTAGATCACAGGAGATAGATAGAAATGAAATAGAAATGGGTTCTGACACCTATCTTAGAAAATAGCCAAGGCATTAAGAAATGCAAGGTGTTAAGTCTCTGAGTGAACAAAAATAATGGAGTTTTCTGAAGTAATGAAACAAGAACATTTAATAAGAAGACTTCAGTAGCCATTGAAATAATTTATTAAATCTAGAAATGTAATAGATTTATATTTAAAGTAAACTTTGAAATCACCATTAGCGTAGGTACTACAGGTAGTCCTCAACTTATGACCACAATTGAGCCCAAAATGTATGTTGTTACATGAGACATTTCTTAAGTAGTTTTGCCCCATTTTACGACCTTTTTGCCACAATTGTTAAGTAAATCATTGCAGTTGTTAAGTTAGTAACACGGTAGTTAAGTGAATATAGTTTCCCCATTGAGTTTGCTCATCAGAAGGTCACAAAAGGGGATCACATGACTCCAAGATACTGCAGCCATCATAAATATGAACCAGTTGCCAAGCATCCAAATTTTGATCATGTGACTGTGCAGATGCTGCAAGCATGAAAAATGGTCATGTCACTTTTTTAGTGCTATTGTAACTTTGAACGGTTACTAAATGAACTGTTGTAGGTCAAGGACTATCTGTATTAAATTGTGCTTGTAATAATTTGGTTTTAACTTCACTTTATGTTATTTGAGATCCCTTCAGGACTCTTTATACCCAGCATGGCTGTAGGAGCAATAGCTGGTAGAATTGTTGGAATTGGTGTGGAACAGTTGGCCTATCATCATCACGACTGGATCATCTTCAGAAACTGGTGTAGACCAGGAGCTGATTGTGTTACTCCAGGACTATATGCAATGGTGGGAGCTGCTGCGTGCTTAGGTACCATGTATTATTCTTTTGTTGCAATTGTTGTTCTGTATGATATAGTGTAGTATCTGTTTATACCCCTAAATTTTGCAGTTTAAAAAGTCATGAATATTGTACCTAAAGATTTCTTGGACTGAAGGCACCATATCCATTTAGGAATGAGAAAAACCAAGGCTGTACACTAATTCAATGAACGATGCCCCTGGGTATCATGCAGTACAACTGCAGAGCTGCCTTTGTGTTTTGGTTTATAGAAGAATGTTAACATTTTGTAGTTGATTCCACTTATGAAACCACATGTCAGGTTGCAAAAACTCAGAGTGGTATCTTCTATGACAATCCTACCCAACAATTTTTTTATTTTGACAGGTGGAGTTACCAGAATGACAGTTTCACTTGTCGTGATCATGTTTGAATTAACAGGAGGACTAGAGTATATTGTGCCTCTTATGGCTGCAGCTGTTACTAGCAAGTGGGTTGCTGATGCTTTTGGCAAAGAAGGGATCTACGAAGCACATATCCATTTGAATGGCTATCCATTTCTGGATGTAAAAGATGAATTTACCCATAGAACACTGGCTACTGATGTTATGAGGCCCAGGCGTGGAGAACCTCCTCTTTCTGTCTTGACTCAAGACAGCATGACTGTGGAAGATGTGGAGACATTAATCAAGGAAACAGATTACAATGGTTTTCCAGTGGTGGTTTCTAAAGAGCGCCTTATTGGCTTTGCACAGAGACGGGACTTGATTCTTGCAATAAGTGAGTTGCATCTGTTTCATGTAGAGGTGATTAGATTTATGGGTGGCCTAGAAGAAAGTTAGGTAAGAAATGAATTGTGTGCAACAGTATTCTAAATTTAAAAGATCCCAATGTCCTCTCAGATCTATGCATTTAATTTTCCCTTTGCAAATTAGCCTTTAGAAAATTTTGATTCTTTTAAGAATAACAGAATGTTTCCTTTCTTGTTACTTTTTGTAACGGAAGAAGTATTGCAATATATATTAACAATTATATTCAGAAATAGATTGAATGTCTATACAACTCTTCTGTCTTCTTTTTTTTATTCTTTTCAAAGTTAAAGCAGAATTATAGTAAATTGATGCATAGAGGAAGGTAAGATAGATGAAAGCAAACTCACTGCAATTACAAAACTAGACATATTTACCATAAGAAGACAGGGCAAAAGTCAATAATTTAAATAAAATATAATAAATTACATGTAGGCTTGAAAGCTGCTTGGAGAATGATGGCAGCTTGGGATTTGCTAATTTTCATTTCATGGCTGTTATAAGATGAGTTTAAGTGAGACATATACAGTACAGCGCCAATGTATTAGAAACTGACAAGGTTCTGTTATCAGAGGTTAAGAGTTGATTTTAGTTCCATGATTGATGGAAAATAGTTCAAAGGGAGAGAGAGAGAAAAACTTGCACTGAAAGCCTCTTCTGAATATTAGCATCAAGCAAGAAATATCATTAGTTAGCCTTTGTTTTTGAACAAAGGATATTTTTTTAAAGCCTATTAGCGTTCTGGAGATTTTAGCACTCCTACACACTGAAAATAGAAGGAAAGTGAAATAGCTACATTATTCAGCAGTAATTGTGCTGTGATATTGCTGTGCACACTCATTAGAGAGAAAGGCCAATATAATGATAATATATGCTTCAATTAACTGAAAGATATATATCAATACTGAGCTTAACGAAGAGTATAATTTAAAAGTCAAATAGGCACTTTCCTAAAATAAGGTTTAAGCTGATTAAGTTTACCCCTTGGCAATTGCTTCAAGAATATGACATTTAATTCTATTCAATAATCATAGTGCTAAGCCAACAACAAGCCACAGTATGGTTTCATGTTATATATGCTACTATTAGACTTTGTAATCCTTTGCCACTTGCATCCCTTCCTAAACTCAGATTCCCTTCTATGTTCAAACTAATTAGTTTGTTGTTTTATCCAAATACTATCAACAATATTTTTCTTTTTCACAAGATTTTATTCCTTTATTCAATTTTCTGGACTGCCCAATATGCAAATATGACTTCTGAAAGGCTTGTCTGTGTCTGGAAAGCAATTATTTGTGAACCAACAGATGAACTGGGTGAAAGAAAGCTTGTGAGACTCCGTTGTAAGTTGCTTCAGAGCCCCTACAAGATATTGCTTTTGTATACCTTTCCCAGAATATAAGATAAAATAAACCAAAACAGGGTTAAAGATAAATGATGGTATGCATTTTTCAATTAAAATGATTAGGGGTATGCTCCAAGTCCTTTCTATTGAACAGTGTCATCTGGTGAGACCTAACTGATGAACCTTCCCTCAAGATCTGGAGGACCCTTAGTAATTTATATTTAGGAAGGGTATGTAAACCTGGCTCTTCTGTCAATCACTGGGCCAAAATGAAAGTTTAACATAGTGTAATGTATTGGTTAAACTTATGGAACAGTTGCAGAGATCTGTGCAAGGACTGTTAGCAGACCATGTGGCCTACTAGCCAGACTTGCTGTCTGCAAGGTTGATTAGTATGCATTTGAGCGGGAGAATATGGTACATTCATTGGCTGATGCCACCCAAAGCTGAATGTATAAATAGGGGCAGAGCCATGCTTGTTAGTTTTCTGTTTTGACCTTCAATAAAGAAGTACCTGTTCACTACTGTTGCCTCTTCAATGCTGAACCAAGCAGAAAACAGAACATTGGCGACGAAGGTGGGATCATGCTGCTGCAATTCGAAGAGCTGAGTCTCTACGGGGAAAAGGCCTAGCAAGCGCTTGGTCAGAACGGAGTTCCACACACCCCCCCGCTCACTCTATCCTGCCAGTATGAAAACGCTGGAGGAGAGTGCTTCCAAGGACCAGCCCTGGAAGTCCCACGGAAGCCTGAGCAGCACGAGGCATTGAAAAGGCCGCCAAAGACTCACCATGGCGAAGTTAGGTTGACTCTCAGAATTCGACGTTGCTCATCCAGAGAGGTGGAGCTCCTACGTCACGAGGGTTGAAAATTACGTACGTGTTAACCAAGTTCATGAAGACAGGCTGAAGGCCACAATACTGTTGTGTGTTTGCGGTCAAGCAGCATTCAACGTTGCAGAGAACTTGGTTGCACCAGTGCCACTTGAGTCCATTGCATACGCAGAACTGAAAAAGATGCTGAAGGAACATTTTGAGCCGAAGCTTTCGGTCATCGCTTGGCGACAAGCCTTTGAACAACGAGACCAGCGTCCCTGCGAGTCTGCCGCCGATTTCATAGCTGCCCTTTGCCAAGCTGCACGGCCATGCAAATTCAAAGATCTTGAAGAAAGGCTGTGGGCTGCTTAGTTTGTGGTCTAAGGAGCTGAGAACTACAACAAAAGATCTTTTCTAAAGAGACTGTCTCCTTTCAAGACGCATTGAGGGAGATAACGGCTGAAGAAGCAGCCGGCAGAGCTGTTAAGGCCTTATGGCTCTCCAAGAACCCTCCTTGCTCGGAGGCCGTCCACCACGAGGATGTTGAGAGGGTTGAAGATTCTGAATCAGACCACCAAGTCGATCGGTTGCAGCAACCCCCGGATAGCAGGCCTCAACGGCAACCTGACAAGGTAGTTTCCTTCCCTCGGTGCATCAGGTGCGGAGGCCATCACAAACGGGCCGACTGCCGGTTCCGCACAGCAACTTGCCAGGCATGTGGCAAGCAAGGCCACATTGCCACCGTTTGTTTGGGTCGCAGAAAAGAACATGGATCAGAAGAGTTGCCTCGGAAAGGTACTGGGGTCCCCAGTCAAAACCAGGTGGGTTTTTGTGTGAGTAGAAGGAGCGTGTGTAGGACAGGCGCCCATCGCCCACTCAAGAAAAGTTACACCTCAAAGTCAAGTTGTACGGGGTTCCTTCTGACATGGAGTTGGACATGGGTTCAGCTCTATCGATAATCTCCCAAACGACACTCCAGCAGATTTGCAGTAGAAGCGGCAAACAAGTTAAGCTCAGGCCGTCGAATCTCATGTAAACGGACTTCCAAAATTCCTGGGTAAACATAAAGGGGGAGGCTACACTGGGGTGCAATTCAGGAACTTCGAGGGTCCCTTGGATGTCGTAGTTGTTGAGGGCAACCACACGAGCCTAATTGGACTTGATTGGTTTGATGCTTTGGGAATTCAAGTGACTGGGTTAAATAGCTTGCAAACGCTGAGCCTCTCGGCAGTGTGTCAAGAGTTCACTGATGTTTTCAGCTCAGAATTAGGGGCATACAAAGGGCCTCCAATTTCCCTTCGACTTGACCCTAAGATAGCACCGATTAGGATTAAGCCTCATCGGGTGCCTTTTGCCTTGAAGCAGAGAATCAATGCAGAGCTGGACAAACTGTTGCAGCAAGGCATTTTGGAGCCGGTGGACAGCAGTCCATGGGAAACTCCCATTGCCACGCCACTTAAGACCAACGGAGAAGTTCACATTTGTGCCCACTATAAATGTATGCTAAACAAAGCTCTCCAGCAGCACTCCTATCTGGTGCCTGTAGTCAGCCACATCTTGGCTTCACTACAGGGAGGTCGCATTTTCGCCAAATGAGATTTGGCACAGGCCTACCAGCAGCTGCTGGTGGACGACGCCACGGCGGAGGCCCAAACTATTGTAACACACCGGGGAGCCTTCAAGGTGCGACGGTTACAGTTTGGGGTTAATGTAGTTCCTGGCATTTTTCAAACCGTGATGGAGCACATGCTCCATAATATTCCAGTTGTATGCCCATACTTTGATGATGTCCTCATAGCTGGGGAATCAGTCGAAAACCTCGCTGATAGGCTCTGGGCTGTTTTGCGGCATTTCTGCGAAGTGGGGCTGAAGCTCAAACAGGAGAAATGCAAAATTGGAGTAACTTCCACAGAATTCCTGGGGTTTTGTATAGATGCTGAAGGCATTCATCCTGCTGAATTCAAGCTCAAAACAATTCAGCAGGCACCCAGTCCCAAGTCAAAGGGAGAGCTTCAGGCCTTCCTGGGACTTCTTAATTTCTACCGTGCTTTCCTCCCCACAAGGCTGCAGCGGCAGAGCCGTTACACTGGCTCTTGGACAAACAGGCCCCATGGAAGTGGACAAGTGTCCACGAGAGGAATTTTGCTGCACTTAAAGCATTGTCCTCAAATGCGATGTTAGCTCATTTCAATGAGCAATTGCCAGTCCGCACCGCGTGTGATGCATCCCCTTATGGATCGGAGCTATGTTAAGCCATCTTAGGGTTGAAGGGACACAAGTCCCTATAGCTTATTACTCCAGGACTCTTTCTGCTGCAGAACGCAATTAAGCACAAATAGATAGGGAGGCATTGGCCATTATGGCTGGCATAAAAAAGTTTCATGACTTTTTGTATGGCCACCACTTCACGGTCTTCACTGACCACAAGCTGCTTGTGGGGTTGTTCACTACGAACAAGCAGACACCCCAAATTATCTCTCCCAGAATATTGAAGTGGTCAATATTCCTATCTGCTTATGACTATTGTCTGGTTCACAAACTGGATAAAGAAATGGGCATGCTGACGGCCTTAGTAGGTTGCCTCTACAGCTATTAGAATCAGATCCTGCTCCAGCCAACCACATCCTGGCTACCCAGGATTTGCCAGAGTCTCCCCTCAATGCAGGGGATGTTGCTGCAGAAACAGCTACTGACAACACATTGAGCCACGTGTTGAATTGAGTGCTCACAGGATAGCCTGAAACGTGTCCTGGCTCTAACTTCCAGAGTTTCTGGAAAAGGGAGCATGAGTTATCCACCTTTAAGGGTTGTGTCCTGTGGGGTAGCACACCCTGACTTCACTGAGGACTAGAGTCCTTGATTCTCTGCATGAGGGACATCCGGGCATAGTCCGGATGAAGGCGCTCATGCGTAGCTACCTCGGGTGGCCTGGACTTGATAAAGACATTGAGGCCCAGGTCCACAGGTGTCACATTTGCCAGCAGTCAAGGCCAGAAATGCCACATGTTCCTATACATAGATGGGAGACCACACAAGCCCCTTGGTCGAGTATACATATCAACTTTGCTGGCCCCTTTCAGGGGCAACTCTTTGTCATTGTTGTGGACAGTCACTCCAAGTGGCTAGAGGTTATTCCAGTGTTCACTATGACTACTGCCAGGACCATCCAGGTGCTGAGGGGCATCTTTGTAACGCATGGGCTCCCAGATGTCATAGTTTCAGACAATGAGGCTCAATTTACGTCCTCAGAGCTTCAGTCCTTTTTGAGGGCAAATATGATTAGGCATGCCACTTCGGCTTCTTTTCACCCGGCCTCTAACAGCCAAGCAGAACGCATGGTTCGCACAACAAAGAAATCCTTGAAGAGGATCACCCATGGCAATTGACATCACAGGTTGGCAGACTTCCTACTCTGCCAACGCACAACGCCCTGCACTTCTGCGGGCAAGAGCCCAGCTGAGCTAAGATGGGGGCACCGTCTGATCACAAAGCTGGATTGCCTACATTCAGACAGGGTTGCTTCACAAGTGCCGCAGCCTAAGGCACTGAGGCACTTGCAAGTGGGTGATCCGATTTGGGCACGCAATTATGGACCAGGGTCACTGTGGGTGGTAGCTGTGGTTTGCAAGGTGTCAGGGCCGCTCTCATACAAAGTGGCCCTGGAAGATGGTCGTGTGCTCCGCAGGCACATTGACCAGCTGCGTTGGAGGTTACCATGCCACTCTCCCACTCCTGACTCTGCTCTCGGGGGGGGGGAGGAACACAATTGCGATTGTGAATTTGAGTCTCTCAGCAATCGCCGAATGGGGGTTTGGCCAGTGAGGCTGCTCCTAACTCAGGCATTGCGCCAACGGGACATTGCTCTCAATCAGCGCCAACAGGACATTGCTCTCAATCGGCTTTTCACGCCGATCTGGTGGATTCTTCTCCACCATGGAACTCTGGCTTGGGCCTACTGGAACAGGCCGGCCACAGGGAAATGGACAAAGGCTTGGGTCTACCAGAACAGGCCAGCCTTCAGGAACCGGCTTTACCCGTATCGGACGGGTCACTCAGCCCCAGTCTGCCGAGCCTGGCAGGTGAGCTTGCAGATTGGGAGCTAGCAGCAGCTCTGAGATCCTCGGAGCGGGCGAAAGGCACACCAAAGTTTTTGAAGGACTACGTGAGGTTTTTGTCATTGCAAACTTAAAATGCTTATGTATTTTTTATTGCAAACTAAAATCATTTATGTAGGTTCTTGGAACTTTTGATTGCTTATGTACTTAAATGTATGTGCCTTCTTACAACCTGCAATGTTAAGTATTGTTAATATTGACAATGTATTGTAAGGACTTTTGTACCACTGAGTGCCATTATGCCCTTTTGAATGTATGTCATCATTGAACAACCAACAATGTTTTGTAAGTGTCAAAAAACTATGGGGGAGGGGTGTAATGTATTGTGTTAAACTTATGGAACAGTTGCAGAGATCTGTGCAAGGACTGTTAGCAGACCATGTGGCCTCCTAGCCATACTTGCTGTCTGCAAGGTTGATTAGTATGCATTTGAGCGGGAGAATACGGTGTATTCATTGGCTGACGCCGCCCAAAGCTGAATGTATAAATAGGGGCAGAGCCATGCTTGTTAGTTTTCTGTTTTGACCTTCAATAAAGAAGTACCTGTTTACTACTGCTGCCTCTTCAATGCTGAACCAAGCAGAAAACAGAACACACAGCACATGTGAATTTGGGAATGAGTATTCTGGTGCCTTGGGTCTGTGTCCTGGTTTAATTTTGTTCAGTTGTGCTTTTTGTTGTTGTGAGCATCAGGATTGAATTGTAGCAGTCAATCTTTTAAATAAATGAATACATTTTTATTTATTCCTGTGGAGTTGAAGAGACTTTTGAGGATCTCCTTGAATCTGCTGTCATATTGAATGTAGCAGAAAAGTTCTATTAAATGATACTGTCACAATGAAAACTACAAGGCTGCAGTGATCCAGTTTCAAAGGGTTAGGATTATTCAGAATTTCATTTGACACTTTAAACAAAATGCACTGTTCTTGGGCTTGTGCAACAGGTATAGAGGCAACTGCAGAAGCCCAAGAGAAATTAGAGATTCTTATAGATGAAAATCTTGCTTGCTCTGAAATATCTTCTCTCTGTAGCCTTAAGGTAAGCAGCTTGGTTTGTGACCAGTGAAAGCAGAAATGCAGCAATCTACTTCATCTCTTCTCCTTTGCTCCCATTAAAGGAATTCAAATCAGTTAATTTGAACAACAGGGACAAAGTCTTCTTTGCCTCTCTTTTTTTGAGACTTTGTAGTTTGTATGAATGCATGCAGATGGATTTCTACAGATCTGAAGCTTATGGCCTCAGATATGAAAGTGTGCTGATCATATAGAACAATGTGGTATTCTAGAGAAATTATTTTATATCAAAATTATCCCTAAAAAAGGGAGCTGGGATAAATCTGGCATCAGCATTAGTGTGTTGGGACAGATGCACTTACTAACCATCCTGATCTTAGAAGAACTATTAAAGGATCAGAAAACAATAACTATTTTTTTCTTGAGATAGATGTGCAATAGTCCTTATATGTCTGACTTTTTCATACAGAAAATGCAAGGCAGTGCCAGGATGGCGTAGTAAGCAACTCAATTGTATATTTTACTGAAGAGCCTCCAGAGGTCCCTGCCAATAGCCCTCATATGCTGAAGCTCCGGCGTATTTTGAATCTGAGCCCCTTCACTGTCACAGACCATACACCAATGGAAACAGTGGTAGACATTTTCAGAAAACTTGGACTCAGGCAGTGTCTTGTCACACATAGTGGGTAAGTATATAAATTATTTTTGTTTTTAAAAATACAGTATTTCTGTTGAAGGGGAGGGGCTTATTTTCTGGAAAAAATAATTCCAATCCTCTCTATATACATGTAATGTTAGACCTTGAAAATGAGCTGGCTTGGATTACAAGAGTGGATTACAAGGAATTCAAGTCTGTGTTTATAAACAAGTAGCAATGCAATTTTTGAAAAATAATTTAAAACTAAAGTGAAATAAAAGAAAGTACAGGGTGCCTTTAAGCCCCTTCATAATTTTTCAGTAACAATATTAAAGCAAGAATGTAAGGAAAAGATGCCTCAGTTTATTTATTGAAATAAAATAACAAGACTTCCGGTTCCGGTTTGCGGCGACTCTAGCCATACAAAGAGACTCGTCTCCTCGACGGCTAGTCTTCCCTCTGCCGGTTGACTCTTATACGGGTCGAAAGTCGCCCTGGAGGGTGTGACTTCCGTCGAAGAGGCTTTGGCTCGGCTGCGGAGGAGTGGTGGCTCCTCCAGCTGTCCAGGTGATCTCTGAGGGCCAACGGAGAAGAAGATCGGCCAGTAAAATGGCCGATCACCCTGCTGCTTCAGACCGCAAGTCAAAAACATCTAGGCGTTAAGAGCCCCCGTGGTGAATCCAGGTGAGATTTTTCCTTGTTACTCTCTCTACTTGACTTTGTTTTTTGCCTATAAGAGCTTTGTTGGAATTATTTCCCTGGCTAGAGAAAGCTGCTTCGATATTTTTGGGAAAGAAAGCATTTCATAAGATTAAAATTTATTTTCATACTTTTTGGGATACAGAAATTTCTCTCTTTTTTGTTCTGCTAAGGACTGTACTACTATTTGGTGTTGTAAGATTATTTCTTCTTTCACACTATACTTTTAAAGATAGAAACAAAGCAGTGCTGTTTGGAAAAGATTCTTCTTCAACTTACTGAGGACATCTAGAGGTGAAAATTTAATATTGCATCTTTTGGTTATTTCTTTGAAGTAAAACCAGACCTGACCTTCATTTTTTTTTGGGGGGGGGGGAAGATAAACTGAGCTCTGGGAATTGTGTGGGTGGATATAGATTAACTCTTACCAAATACAGCCTCCACAAACAAAACAAATAAATAAAACAAAAAACTATTACTACCAAAATGGAGAAATTGCATTCACAATTAAATTATAAGCTTATATTGGAAAAGATACATGAGGCCACTACAGAAATCTGTACTATACTGAAAGAATCCACTTCAGAACTAAGATCTAGAAACTTCACTTCAAACATGCAAATGGATGACCAGACTACACTTGACTATTCTATAAACAAAATTACATTAGAAGAGGAACCAACTGAGATAAAAGAGGAGCTTATTTTACCTTACAAGCCTTTCATTTGTAACTTTGAGGAACAGAAGAAGCAAGGACTGAGATTTGAAATTGTAAAGCAATGATATTTTAAAGAGGAGAAAAACAGACCTGTGATGCAGAGGATGGGACTTTCATTTCTTCAAAGGCCATTCCAAGCAACAAAAATAGACTTATTGATTGAAAGGGAAGCGTGTTTATGGAAACCTACTTGGTACAGGAAAAAACCTAGAATTAGACTTAAAAGAGAAATTTAAAATTGTGTAATGGAATAAAAGGCAATATTGGATTTATGGATTGTTTTAAGGACTAAGATTCAGAGTTAGAAGCAACTAAATATATATACATATAGGAGCATGATTATTAGAATAGATATTTTAAATAGATTAAGAATGTATTGGATTGTACCTATGTAGCGTTTGGGAAATATATGAAATTTATTATTTACTGGAATTGCAAAAATGATGACTGCTTAGATTGGGATGTTTTTAATAATTTATGGAATGTTTTAAATTACTAGGATAGATTTCTTGTATGACAACAAAGACATGATAAGGCATGATAAGCTGGAGAAAATTTGAACTTTGTTTAATGAATATGAATGAATCAAAGTTTAATATTATTTTGTTATTTTAAAGATATGGATTGACTTTGGGATTACATATATATAGGGCTGATCAATATTTTATTGCTATTAAGATATCTATTGTATAGTGGAAGAAGAAATAAATGAGTTTGGTATAAAATGAGGGATCTGAGAGATTAAGAATTAGAATTGATAATTTTTTGATTTAAATTTAAACTATTGTATTTGTAAACTGATAAAGTTATAACACAGGTTTAATAGTGATAGAAATTTAAAATAGAAATGGAATATTTAAGTGTATTATGTTAACTGAGGGGAATAGAGAGGGGATAGTGGAATTTATTGAGTTGTGTTGTTTATATATATATTCACTTTTGAATGTTTGACCACCTAACCATCATGGTGGGTCTTGAGTACTTTTTGTTTAAGAATGTTAAAAAACCAATAAAATGTCTTAAAAAAAAGAAAAGAAATAAAATAACAAATCCCCCAAATTATTAGCTACCGTATTAATGCTGTTTATAATTCATTTAGCTAACAAAGGCCTACCCTCTAGCTCAGAGCAATATATCTTAATTTTGCTCTTTTGATTTAGAGCAGAATTCATAATACATGTATGTAATTAAGCTTCATATTTTGGTCAAGCTATTGCTAAATATGTATTATTTTAATCTTTAAAAAAAACTATTGCTGCTAAGGAGAAATGCCAGCCAAATGTAATTGTTAGGAAATTCCTGCATGAATGATGCATTAAGGGAATTAACTAATGGAGTTTTATTTTTTTACAAACTGAAAGTCCATGGGATTTATAAACCTATAACAAGGTAAGGAATGAAAAAATAAGAGACAGAAGCTAAATTGAATGAAACAGACCCTTGAATGTAGAATATGTCCCTCAAAAGCTCAATCATTCTGGAGCAATGAGGGAAAGCAAGATGCAGTGCTGGAAGTGGTGAAGACCTACTGAAGCTATAAACCAAGGCTAGAGGAATATTTAGTGCTTTTTCCAATTTCCTCATTGGCTGAAAAGTAGACAGATTCTGTTTTTGATAAACAACATTAATACACTAATACTTATAAGGGGCAAAAGTTAGGAACCAGTCCCGCCAACAGTTTCCATATCAGTACAATTAAATTTCACATTAAATTAATGACAATGTGTTAACAGCCTTATACTATTCTGATAATATGAAAACTGTCAAGAGAAGGAATATTCATAAGGATAATTTAAGTCAACTGAAATTAATGAAAACTTATTGCCTTACACTTAGAAGAGACTAAATGCCTGAGACAGTGAATTTGACCCAGTCATAGAAAGATGCTGCAAACAGAGCAGTATCTAAGTGTAGAGAAGACAGGAAGGCTATTTATTTGCACAACAAGCTTGAGGGGAAAAACTGAGCCATTTGGAGCCAACAAAAGTCAGTTTGCTGGCCAAACAAGCTTTGTTGTCTTTGCCCAATGCCGTCTCTGCCCTTTTAGCCAATCTACAAAGTGGCACTCTTTGGTGGTGGCACTAGAGCTGACGTAGAGTCCCAGCTGTCATTGCCTCCAGGTATCTATTTCAGCCTCAGTAGCCCCTCCTACCAAGATGTGCCACCACAAGTCCCATGCCATGGCCAACCCCCTCAGTGCCACACAACAGTAGGGTCAATTATTTGAGGCAGTGTTATAATTAACACTGATTATTCAAAGGGTTTTATTATCAGGGTAACTTAGTAAGTCTGTACTACGTACAGTTAAGATTAGCTTGACTATTAATTTTACTTATATTTTTACCATTGTTTTTCAGTTTTCTTAGCAGCTACAGCAACCTCCCTCTAAAATAATTGATAAAAAGTAATGATAGATAGAATGAACATATATTTGAGAACTTCAACCCTTTTGCATTGAAGCATGCCTGTGAGAGAAAGGGGAGAGCATATAATTCACTGGTTTTGCTTGAAGCTTTCTTTAAATGTGATGTATAGGCATTCAGGTCACAGTTCAGGAGTATTTTTTTGCAATACTTTGATGGTCTCTTTATGCCCTGTGCTGAGCTTTTTCTGCTTTGGCCTGGAGGATCCCAACAGTTTCTGCAAATGGTTTGGGAGAGGTGATGTAAAGTTGGACAAGTTTAAGCCTGCTCAAGAAACATCCTTAACTAAGTGCATTGAGGAATGCAGCTGGGTAGAATATGGTATCTTTTATCCCTTTGCCAAAGGCTGAGAAAAATATAATGAAAGCTCTGTATTCATAAAAGCAATGCATTGTGATGATTTTTTTTTCAGTTCATAAATGCAACTTATTCTTTTTTTTAAATTCCCATTTCTTCATTTTTAAAAAAGGGAAGAGCAGGGTGTCTTTTTGAAACTGATTGTTTTGTGTTATAGGTTTTACTGCAGCAGAATTTGAAAAATGAACAAGACAGGCTAATGATTAATCACAATTTTGTTTCTTTCCTTTCTTTCTTCTCTAGGAGGCTCCTGGGCATTATCACCAAAAAGGACGTGTTAAGGCATATGGCTCAAATGGCAAATCAAGATCCTGAATCCATCATGTTTAACTAGGCTATTCCCAACAGATAGGTCCAAATCTTAAAGGAAAAGATTCCTATTGAACTGATTGAAAGGAATTCAAATAGCTCTTCATTGTTTATTAAAATAAAATTTAAATTAATACAACTTTGTTAAGAGCAGAACCCAGGGAAAATTATAACAAACTGAATATTTGAGTTGTTGGTAAATGTATTTGAAAATTCAATTCAGCTATGGGCTGTTTTTCCTGGCAACGTGTCCTGGGAACATGTCATAAATACAGTCCTTACCATGGCACATTTTTCTCCTTGTCCTGCCTACCGTATCCCATTAATATAAATGCATTTATATAGTTTTTTATCTGTGTTAATCATCTTTACAAACATTTGGGAGCAGAGAGAAGCCATCATCTTGATAAATATAAATATAATCAAGAATGCAAAATGTTTTCATTACACATGCCCTATTTCATATTTCTTAAATTTGGATTCCCAAATTAGGTTATTTTCTAAAGCTGCATACTTTTGTGAAGAATGTTCTTGCTTTTACTGTTTTTGCAGAAGTTCATAGATATTGTAGAAGTAAAGGGGTATTTCAGTTTACTTTTAGTGCTATTGTTTAGTCTTGAGTTATTCTGTTCATTTGTAATATGATGAAATAATCTGCAAATTCTGTCATTTTTTATGATGAAATTTTCTTCTTACTGTTTTCCCATACATGAGTATGATGCCATAGGGTTATATATTTTCCAGCATAACTGACATTAAATTGCAATTCTGGCCACACATTTTTGTCAAAAAGTATTTTGAACAATAAGCTTCAGTATTCCTAGACAAAAAAAAATTATTGTTGTTTTTTTCTATAGAGGAGAAAAAGCATATTAACACAGTTTTTTTAAAAAACATGTATTCATTCTTTCTGGAAATATTGTATATTTATTTTATGTCACAAATAGATTTTACAGTATGAAATATTTTATAAACCATCTTAGAATCAGTTTAACTAATTTTTATAGTTAAAAGTACAAACAAGTTTGAAGTTTGGACATGAATATGATAAATAAAATATTTGCCATAGATAATCTTCATATTACATGTATCAGGCATTTGATTTTTGGGATGCTCATTTATTACTAGTTCCTAGAAGAAATATGTTGAGATGGGCTCTAGGAAACATCAAGATGGTTTCCCAGCTTGTAACCCCACTAACATTAGCACATATTCTATATTATCTAGTTTGTTGATGAATTTATTGATTGATGTATATATGAAATCTACTTCTTGTGTAAGCATGTTCGATATTTTGCCAAAATATTACCCAATCGAAGAAACCATGACTCTCTATGCCTGGAACAAAAAGATTTGATATTAAGTTGCTTATGACAACATAGTATTGGTTTTAAGATTTATCAATATATCACTGTCTGGACACGTCACCCAATTTTAGAGATTTGGAATAACAATAATTAGAATTAAAAATAATTCTAATAATTGACAGGATTTTTTTTCAGAATTAATAGAGGAGACTTACCTTTATAGAAGAACACCAGAGAATATCTATTGTATTTCATTAAAAATGCCGTTTTCTACTTCTTCAAATGACAGAAAATAATAGAACAATAACATTTGGAAAATAATAAAATTTATCCAACTTTTGAAAAGTTATTAATTATCCCTGCCTTTTAATACAAAGAAATGGCTCTTCTGTGAGAAAGTCTGTGAATTTTCATTTTCATTCTTCATTTTTATCATTCAGATTCAGAATAAGCAATAGCCAGTATAAATTCAAAATTTACATTATAAATGACATTTTTGGCAGAGCCATCATGGCACAGTGGTTGGAATGCAGTATTGCACACTAACTCTGCTGATTGCCAGGAGTTTGACTCTAACCAGCTCAAAGTTGACTTAGCCTTCCAGCCTTCCAAGGTTGGTAAAATGAGGACTCTGATAGTTGGGGGCAATATGCTGACTCTGTAAACCGCTTAGAGAGGGCTGTAAAGCACTATGAAGTGCTCCATAAGTCTAAGTGTTATTGCTATTCCCTGCTGCTTTGGCATTGGAAGAATTCAGTGTAAGTTTGTGACTCTTAAGACTATACACTATTTCAATTCACCTTGTCAGATGAAAACTGCAAGAATTCCAGTTAACATATATTGAGAATTCATGAAATATTGAAGAATATTGACATAGATATATATGAGCCAGGGTGGCGCAGTGATTAGAATGCAGTACTGCAGGCTACTTCTGCTGACTGCTGGCTGCCAGCACTTCAGCAGTTCAATTCAAAGTTGACTCAGCCTTTCATCCTTCTGAGGTCGGTAAAATGACGACCCAGATTGTTGGGGGCAATATGCAAACTTGATAAACTGCTTAAAGAGGGCTAAAGCACTATGAAGTGATATAGAAGTGCTATTGCTATTTCAGTGGGTTCTAGGTTGAGCAAAGGCTATGCAGTTTCCCTGTATTGTCTAGCAAAACACAGAGTACCCAAGGAAAACAAATAAGACCTTGCAAAAGAGTATTGATCTTTCATTATCTGAATCCTAGAGAGGGTGTTTAGGTGTACAGTTTCATGAAATATCATACTATGTGAAATAGATTAAAACCAGTGAACTTGGTATACTATATTCTGTAAAATATGGGATTAAGGTAAGTGTAAAAAAAAAGTCCCCTAACTTATGCAAATCACACTACACTAAATAACTTTGCACTGCATGCTGGATGACAGCATAGGCTGATATATTTCGTGTCCATCAGTCTCAAATGTTAACGTTTTAATGCTGGTATCTAACATTGAAATTATATTTCTCCACTTGGTGTATATTACTTGACATAAGCCAGGTATAAGAATTTTGGAGATGATTTGTTTCCATTCTAATAGAAGCAAAAACATAGTAACATATGAGTAAATAACGATTTATTTAGCTAGTGGTAGATTTACTTTTGGATTTTTTTCTTTTTGAAATGTCTGATTTCATGGGTTGATTTGTAAACCAGAATAATAGAATAGCTCGCAAATTAATACAATTTAGATATTTGCACAGACAAATAATTCTGATTTTAGATCATTCTTCCTTTCTGAAGCAAAACATCAAAATGCTGTAATATTTTGGAAATAAGGTTTGAATTCTTGATACTTTTATTTTTCTGTGGTATAAGATTGAATGCTAAGTGACTTTAAATACTGAATGTCATGGGGTTAATGAAATATTAAGATGAGAAACTGCTAATTTTAAGAGGGTGCCTGAGTCTGATTTCCTACAACTCAAGAGATACAGGAAGGATTCCAGATAAAGATTTTTTTAAAACTGAAGTATTTTAATGAAATTGGTTCATTTAAGAATAAGGTTGGTTGTATAAAAGTTTAAAATTTATTATAATGAAATATATTCAGTGATTTTTTATTATATGAAAATGAAGCTGTCATGCCAAATGGTGAATAAACCTTTGATACTGATTAATGAAAAATAACCACAATTTTATACAGCATATTGTCTGGGTTCATGTATTTAAAAAACAATAAGTAAGAATTAATTTCTATATTATGATAATCAATATGTTAGTTAATCGCTCAATAGTCTTCTTCTTACTAGTATATATTCAATGTTACATAGTACATATCACGTTCCTTTCTCTCTAACTCGCTTTTCTAGCCATTGAAAAAAATTGTCCCATGTTCTAAAGTACACAGAATTTTCTTTCTCTTTTATCTCTAATATCAATCTGTCCATTTCTGCACAATCTAAAATTTTCTTAATTAGTTATTCTTCCGTTGGTAAGTTTTCATTTTTCCAATATTGGGCAAATACAATTCTTGTTGCAATTAATACATATAAAATTAAGTATATACAATCTTTCTCATAGTTTCCTCCTATTATGCCTAACAAACAGTTCTGGCTTGAAATCTATATGTTTTTTAGTCATTTTTTCCAATCATATGTGTATTTTTACCAAAATATTTTAGCTTTAGGGTATGTCCACCAGATATGATAATAAGTATCTGGTTTTTGTTTACATTTCCAACACTTCTTTGATATATTTTTAAACATTTTCGCTAATCTCACCGGTGTTAAATGCCATCTGTAAAACATTTTGTATAAGTTTTCTTTGTAAGCCACCGCTTTTGTTAATTTAGTGTTTCTTTCCCATAGTCTTTGCCAGTTTTCTAATTCTATATTAAGTCCAAAGTTCTTTGCCCATGTTATCATTGTTCTTTTACTGGTTCCTCTTCCATCTTTTAGCTTAACAAATATTTATAGAGTTTCTTAATCAATTTTTCATCTGTTTTAGCAGTATCTGGTCAAATTCTGTCTGTTCTTTATAAAATCCCATTGATTTAGCATTTTTTTCATATCTTATTTGAATTTGCAAGTATGGTCACCATGATAAATCAATACCTTGTTCTTGTAAATCTTGTCTGTCACTTTCCCTTCATTGTCCAATATATCTTTATAGGTCACAACTTTCTTGTAGTTAATTAAATTTGGGTAAGCAATTACTTCCATTGTTGAAAGCCATCCAGGTATTTTAATATAGATTTTCGCTTTTATTTTTTCCCATTCTAGAAGAAGTGCATTTCTTATAACATAGTTCTGAAAGTATCTATTCTTACCATACCACAGAAAGGCATGCCATCCAAGTTGTAGGTCATGCAATGTAGGTCATTGCTTATCTCTAAGCATTATCCACACTTTTAGCCATGTTAATATAGTTGCTTGGTTGTATAGCGTCCAGTCCAGCAGTCCAAATCCTCCACTTCTTGTAAATTTTCAGTCTAATTCTAGCTTTTTTTCCTTGCCAGATAAATTTCAATATTGTTATATTTAGTTCATCAAAAAAGGTTTTTCCCAGTCTTATAGGTATAGTTTGAAATAAAACGAGTATTTTTGCTAAGACATTCATTTTCACTGTTGCTATTCTCCCCAGCATTGAAAATTGTAAATTTTTCCATTTTTCCAGATCCAATTTTGTTTGTTTTAGCAATCTTCTTTTATTGTTGCACATCTTGCTGTTAAATAAGTTCCCAAATATTTAACTTTTTTACTATTTGAAGGTTTGTTTTTTTGCTAGTTGTTTTTTTTGTTTTTCTTTTAAGTTTTTAGTTAGCACTTTAGTCTTTTCTCTGTTTATTTTCAACCCTGCCAATTCTCCAAATTCTTCTATTTTCTCTATAAACTTAACGCTTGTTTCAAGCAGTTCTTCTAATATGAAAACCAAGTCATATGCAAATGCCTGTAGTTTGCATTTTTCATTTTTTATCTTCAGTCCTTTAATTTCTATATCTTGCCTGATGTTTCTATTCAATACTTCCAGGGATAAATAATAGTGGAAATAGTGGACATCCCTGTCTTGTGCCTTTTTTAATATCAAAGTTTTCTGTAAAATCTCTATTTACAATTACTTTGGCTCTTTGTTTATGATAAATTGTTTTGATTACATTTGTAAAATTTTCTCCAAAATCCATTTTCTCTAGTCGCTGGAACATAAATTGCCAGTTTGTGTTGTTGAATGCTTTCTGTGCATCTAGAAATATTAAAGCCATCTGTTTCCTTGGATGAGTTTCATAGTACTCTAAAACATCTAGAATCATTCTTAAGTTATTTTTTATCTGTCTTTTAGGTAGAAACCCATTTTGGTCTGTATATATAAATTCAGTGAGAAATTTCTTTAGTCTTTCTGCTATTACTGAGGTGAAAATGTTATAATCTACATTTAATAATGATATTGGTCTGTAATTTTTTATTTGCGTCAAATCAGAATCATCTTTGGGTATTAAAGTAATGTTAGCTTCAGTCCATGTATTTGGTATTTTAGCCTCCAAAAGTATTTCATTACACAGTTCTTTCAATATTGGGCTTAGTATATCTTGTAATGATTTGTAGAGCTCTGCAGATATTCCATCTGAGCCCAGGGTCTTATAATTTTTTCCCCTTTTTATGGCCTCTGTTATCTCCATCATTGATATTTTTCCATTTAATATATTTTGAATATTCTCTGGAATTTTTGGTGAGTCTGCTTTTTTTAGGTACTGCTGTATTTTTTCTTTTGAAATTTCCTCTGCATTATAAAGTATCTTGTAAAAGTCTTTAATATTTTTTTTAATTGTGTCATTTTGAAACTCTAATTCACCTTTTGGGGCTTGCAACTTGTTTACCAGTTTTTTCTCTTTTTCTTTTTTCAATCTATATGCTACATCTTCCCAGTTTATTGGCATTTTCAAAAAAAGTTCTGTTTAGCCCTTTTAATCTGTTGAGCCATTATTTCCGCATCTACTAAGTTTAGTTTATGTTTTATTATCTCCATTTGCCTTTTGAGTTTCTTTTGTGGGTCTATTTGTAGTTCAAATTCTAATTTACTAAATTCTTCCTTCAACTTTAACTGTTGTTGTTTTCTTTCTTTATTCTTTTTAGCAGCATAGGTTATAGCCAGCCCTCTGAAATATGCTTTAGCTGTGTCCCCCACATTTTGAAGCAATGTCTCTTCTTTCTTATTTATTTTAAAAAAGAAGTCAATTTCTTTTGTCGCTAGTTGTATAAATTCTTTTTCTTTCAATATAGATTTGTTCAAGGACCATCTTAATTTTTTCTTGGTTCCTCTCCAAGTCATCTTTATTGGATTGTGATCTGCCCAGAAATTAGTTTTTATCTCTATTTCTTGTATCATCATGCCAAGTTCGAGGATGTCCATATCATATCAGTTCTAGACCATGATTTATGTCTATTTGAAT